CTATGATGTTGCTGCTGCTGTGATGTTGATGCTGCTGTGATATTGATGTTGCTGCTGCTGTGATGTTGATGTTGTTGCTGGTGTGATGTTGAAGTTGTAGCTGCTGTAATATTGTTGATGTTGTTGCTGCTGTGATGTTGATGTTGTTGCTGCTGTGATGTTGTTGCTGCTGCTGTGATGTTGTTGCTGCTGTGATGTTGATGTTGTTGCTGCTGTGATGTTGCTGCTGCTGTGATGTTGTTGCTGCTGTGACGTTGATGGTGTTGCTGCTGCTGTGATGTTGATGCTGCTGTGATATTGATGTTGCTGCTGCTATGATGTTGCTGCTGCTGTGATGTTGATGCTGCTGTGATATTGATGTTGCTGCTGCTGTGATGTTGATGTTGTTGCTGCTGTGATGTTGATGTTGTAGCTGCTGTAATATTGTTGATGTTGTTGCTGCTGTGATGTTGATGTTGTTGCTGCTGTGATGTTGTTGCTGCTGCTGTGATGTTGTTGTTGCTGCTGTGATGTTGATGCTGTTGTGATGTTGCTGCTGCTGTGATGTTGTTGCTGCTGTGATGTTGATGTTGTTGCTGCTGTGATGTTGCTGCTGCTGTGATGTTGATGCTGCTGTGATATTGATGTTGCTGCTGCTATGATGTTGCTGCTGCTGTGATGTTGATGCTGCTGTGATATTGATGTTGCTGCTGCTGTGATGTTGATGTTGTTGCTGGTGTGATGTTGAAGTTGTAGCTGCTGTAATATTGTTGATGTTGTTGCTGCTGTGATGTTGATGTTGTAGCTGCTGTAATATTGTTGATGTTGTTGCTGCTGTGATGTTGTTGCTGCTGCTGTGATGTTGTTGCTGCTGTGATGTTGATGTTGTTGCTGCTGTGATGTTGCTGCTGCTGTGATGTTGTTGCTGCTGTGATGTTGATGTTGTTGCTGCTGTGATGTTGCTGCTGCTGTGATGTTGATGTTGTTGCTGCTGTGATGTTGTTGCTGCTGTGATGTTGTTGCTGTTGTGATGTTGATGTTGTTGCTGCTGTGATGTAGTTGTTGCTGCTGCTGTGATGTTGATGTTGTTGCTGCTCTGATGTTGTTGCTGCTGTGATGTTGATGTTGTTGCTGCTGTGATGTAGATGTTGTTGCTGCTCTGATGTTGTTGCTGCTGTGATGTTGATGTTGTTGCTGCTGTGATGTTGTTGCTGCTGTGATGTTGTTGCTGCTGTGATGTTGTTGCTGCTGTGGTGTTGATGTTGTTGCTGCTGTGATGTAGTTGTTGCTGCTGCTGTGATGTTGATGTTGTTGCTGCTCTGATGTTGTTTCTGCTGTGATGTTGATGTTGTTGCTGCTGTGATGTAGATGTTGTTGCTGCTGTGATGTTGCTGCATCAATCTGTTTGTTTTCAAGTTATATCTGGTATAATGTAGTTTTAATTGCTCTGTTACCGACGTCCGCATTATCATCAACGGTCCCAGAAGCTATATCACTGATTACGGTAGTCTCTCCCTAGCAATCTAGAGGTTGATACGTCAAGTTTTAATGTAAAGAAATGTGTGCCAACAAGGAAATATTCATATAATTAAGTCTTTTTCTTGAATGTTATAATGCCAACTTGCTGCTACATGAAAGCTAGATAAATGTAATCTAGACATCTGTTTACCCTGTTCAACAGTTTATAAATAAGCCTAAACATTTTAGTGGCAGAATTCTTTTATGTAATTATTACGCTTGCTTGAATAATGTACATGTTAACCCAAATCAGTCATGCTAGTTTTTAAATCAATACAACAGTCCGGTAGGTAATATGTTACAAGAAAGACTTGCAAAGTTACAAAAGTCAGGTACGCGAGTTTGCATGCACAGCATACAAGTAACATTTGGATCTTCGTGACGTTGACAAAGGGAACATATCTAGAATTAAACGGATCTATAATTATTACTTTGTGCAAGACTGAATTGAGTTCAAATATACCATATATTCCGCAGGCTTCAGGTGGATTTCAGTTGAAATTGCTTAACGAGATAAAGTTACAGCATAGTAATCAAGTGTCGTGAAACAGAAATTATGACACTGAATACAGTAAGCCAGTGTCAATACCTGCATACTATCAAAACTGTCATCCTATACTGACAATTCTTATAGTTATTTCCAGTGGGAAATAATCAACGTTAAGCTCAACAAGAGATCCCAGAGGGATATTGGCGCCCACCATTCTTTGATCGTTATATGCTCTTTGAAAGTTGGATCTTTTCCTTTTTTTCTCTTCTCCGATTTCGCTCTTTGATGAACATTCCGTTGAAGAAATGAATGATAATCTTTACCTGCCAAATCTAAAATGGCCACCCGAAAGTCATTTTGTTTCTTCTGGTCATTCCCAAAAGCAAACGAGCACAGGGAGAGATCAAAAGGAACATGCGTATAAAATTTTAGAAAGATCCCTTCAGTAGTTCTCAGGAAATAGTGATAACAAACTTTCAAAGTCAAAATTCAAGATAGTCACTTTTCGGCCATTTTATTTTTCTAATCAGAAATTACATGGGCACAACTAGAGACCAGGAGAAACTTACATATGAAATTTATGAATGAAAAATCCAGTACTTCTCAAATATAGCAATAACAAACTTTCAAAGTTAAAATATAAGATGGCCGCCTGTCAGCCATTTTGTTTTTTATTAGACTCAAAATCAAACAGGCACAACTAGGAACCAGGAGGGCCCTACACATGAAATGTATTAATGAACCATCCAATACTTCTCAAGAAATAGCAATAACAAACTTTCCAAGTCAAAATCCAAGATGGTCGCCTTTCGGCATCTTGTTTTTCAGTTCCAAAATAACATGGGCACAACTAGAGACCCAGGGGAACATTCATATGAAATTTGAGAGAGATCCATACAGAACTTCTCAAGAAATAGTGATAACAAACTTCATTAAAAATCCAAGATGGCTGTCTTTTTAAATTTTTTTTGGATCAGTCCCAAAATCAAATTGGCACAACCAGGGACCAAGGGGAACCTACATATGCAATTTGTGAAAGGTCCATCTAGGACTTCTCAAGAAATTGTTTACGGACGGACGGACGGACCATGGACACAGAGCAATCTGATGATGGTTGGCTAACAATGCAAATTAACCCCTTTTGGCCTGCCCATCAGCCCCTTGGGGTCAGTCAGGATCAAAATGGGCATACAATCAAGTCGTCATCCTTCACTCATAATTCGCACCAAGTCTGAAATATTTCCAATCGAGGAGAGTTTTGAAATCAAGTCAATTCGACCCCCTTTTGGCCCTGCCCTTCAGGCCCCTGGGGTGGGGACTGCATAATTCACAATTTTGGTTCATCTCAAGCCAGGGAAGGTTTCTGCAAAATTTCATTGAAATCGGATCAGGGGTTTTTGAAAAGAAGTTTAGAATGTTAAATTGTTTACATATGCACGACGCCGGCTGAAGGTGATCGCAATAGGTCAGCATTAGACTTTGTCTCAGGTGACCTAAAAAAGAGGTTTGAGGGAGAGGTGCGCAGGTCTGCAGAATCTATGGCATGAAATTAATCTGGAGGTTTACCTGAAGAAACTATGGCGAGGAATCGGAAACAAAATACAATATAACAAGAAACGTTACTACAGAGAGGCCAGCATGACCCTAACAAAATAATGATGAATGCTTAAGTAACACAAAAGTGTTGGAACGGTAGCTGCTTATCTTGACGAAAAGACATTTTTTACCTGTATATGATAGGTGTCATTTTATTCTCTTATTTCCCCATTTCTAGGCAACAGCTTCCCTTCTCGAACCTACGAGTTTGACATGTGACTGATAAACTCGCATTACAATGTTGCAAAAAATGGAGAGAGGTTTTTTTTTACATTTCTTTTATTACCAGTGTAATACTGGTCTCTCCAGATCAATATACCCAGGTTTGCTATTCTTGTATCTAACATGCGTAGAAATGTGATGTGTTTCTTCTGAATTGACGTCATCGCCCGATACAATGTATACATCAAAGTGTACAGGTATTTCGGTGACCTTTCATATTTTGTTTTAAATCTAGGTCCAGAGGATTAATTTTCTATGTCAACATTTCGATTTATAGCATAACAAAAAATGTAATTTTAGTATAATATGGCATCTTTTGTATTGTCAACGTCTGAAGCTAATATTTTCAAATAATAATGAGAAATGAGAGAAAAATATACCTCCATATGTCAGAGTGGAAGGATAGGACATTTCACCCTTGAGGTCACAAAATGCAAAACCCTCTGGTTTTAAGACATTGTGTGACCTCTTGGGTAGAATATCCCTATCCTACACCCCAACAGTTGAAATGGTCTTGCTCCTTAGTATACTTAGTGGTTTCATTGTTGTTGGCTTTGTCCTCGCTTGAGAACGTGACATTTCTGAGAGGACTGACTAAGGGTCATATAGAGGGTGTCAATGCAGCAGAAGATGTTTACCATTCCAGAACACCTGACCTTATTCTTAATGTACTTCAAGAGTCCCAGTGTAAACATTTTGTTCATATTTTGTACACAATTGTTAACAATTTTAGATTTGAAGTATGATTTTACTATACCTCCATTTTTTTTCATTTGTCGTATCTTTCAAAGGATATACTTCAAAATCGTGCTGAACAATGTTCTAGTTACACTAGGTATACTTGTATACAAATCGAAATAGAAGTTTAACATTGCCAAATGTTGCAGTGATATCTTTTCTTTTAAGCTTTGAGAATCCAATACAAACAAACTGTCAGTTTTATCATTAATGAAAATCCAAAGAGAAGGATAGAAACATGATACTCAATAATCAATATAACAAATGATTTCTTTTCTAAAAATATACCATCTCCATCATAATAAATTCAATCATTTTGTCTAAATAACAGAATACAACAAAAACATTTTTGAAAGATTAATCTTATTTCACAATAAATTAAGTACAAATGAATTCAAACAACAAAGTAGATTAACTTAAAATAATGTGTTTTAAAAACAAGATTTTAAATGGTTTATCCAATCATAGCGCCTATTAAAAGTAAATATTCCAAACCTGTTCATTAATGAAATAAAAGTTAATGAGATTTTCCTCATGGACGGAATTAGAGATATATGTGATTTTCATCCAGAAGCAAATACCAGTGTTATCCCAGTAAAATCACACCTCCTGTACTATTTCAGTAGCAGAAAAGTAAATGGAATTCTTAATTAAGTCCAAGTAATATACAAAATGTATAATAAACATATATCTTAGAGATCCACACTTGCTTCAAGATACCTGATATGTATGCACCCTGAAAGTTTGCTTGCCTTTGCTTGACATGAAATTTACGTAGTGCTTTCTTATTTCATAAAATGATCACAAGAGATACATTTTCATTTCTTTCTGTCATGACATTATGAGCACTGTAGTCTTGTAGACAACATATGTTTTGCCTCTTTTCAACAGTATCCACTTGCCTAATCAGGTATCCCTTTAGACCTCCTAATATTTAAAAATAAATTTTGTTGTGTCTTGAATTTTTTACCAATTTTCTATAAAATGTTGACAGTGACTTTGACCCAGGTCATAACACCTTGAACACACACTCATTCAAGATATTCACAATTTCAAACTATCAAATTGAATTATCTTAAGTGATGACAGTTTCCATCAACAGTACCTGTGACCCTCAACATGGCCAAGCATCCTGAAACACTTACTCGTTCCAAGATATTCTCATACTTGGATCTGTATGAACTTAGCTCAAAATTTGTTGGAATTGCAGTACGTATAGAATAGAGACAAAAGTAAATATCATAAGCATAAACATTTTGTTTTTTATCCTCTATGATCTTCAGGACTGAATACAAAATTTCCTGAATGGTTAGAAAGAATATTGACTAACAGGACAGGCACTTTTTGTGGTAAGTTGTATTAGGGGTGGACAAATCGTCTTCATCATTTGGAACAGAAATCTATCTCTATAATGCGACACTTTTAGTACATGTTTATTTATGAAATACATTGAAAGCTACAAAGAGGAATATTTTGGTAAAGAAAGAACACTTCTACAGTACAGATGAGGAATGTGTTGTGACAAAATGGATATGACAGTTCTATTTTTAAACACTGATATCATAAATGTATGATTTGGGACATCAAATTTGACTACTACTGGAAGGAATAGGTTGGATTAGGTGTTGCCCCACACCATAATCCAATAAACTTGAGGACGTCTTGGAGTTCTGTGCTGTGGGAAACCTGAAATATGATAAAAATGAAATGTCGTTAAGAAAACTCAACATTAGAAGATATCCATAATCCTTATGCATGTATGCCTGTCCAAAATCTGTCACTTCCCAAGAATGTTCAGGGAATCTCAAGGACAAACATCAGAGAATTGGGAAGGATTACACAATAAAATACAACGTATGATAGCAATTTACAGCTATGTAATTCAAAAATCTAAGCATGCACAAGCATTATTCTTATTTTGCTAGTTCTACCCAACACAAGAACTCAAAAAATACCTACAGATATTGTTGCTCTATTTATGCAGGATGATTTTTGAGAAAAGCTATAAAGATAAATGAATATTGGATATTCTCTCTGAATTCAGATATCTGAATCTGAACCCAGGTAAAGATTTTTTAATGTCCAACTAGTTTAACAGACCAGAACTATTAACTCACCTTAGTAGCCATTAAGTATTTATTCCAGTCATCTTTGTTTGCAACCTTTCCTGCTTTTTTGAAGTCAAGCTGGTTTCTTAAAACTGGATAACCTATCAAATAATCAGAAAAAAAGGAGTAAATAGGGTAATCACATCATTGAGTTTTGACCTCCTAGCGTGACCTACAACATCTATAATCTAATAAGGTGTAGATATCAATAATACCAGATTATGGTGTCAGACTTAACGTTACTAATTAATATTTTTACACAATCTCAAATTGTCAAATGTGATCTTTAATCTTTAACCCTATCATGTGTGATTTTTTATACCTAACCCCATCAGTTGTGACCTTTGATGCCTTACCCTGTCAAAGGTGAGAATGAAACAAAATTAAACCAAACAAAAATTCTTTCAGAAGCAAGTTCTACCTGTGATGACACAAGGCAAAGATCGGATGCCAGTGTCTGGGGCCACTAGTGAGGCCTCATACACATTCCTCTCATCACGTGGAAGCACCTGTTCCACTTTCTGGTCCATAGACACAGCTAATACCCATTCTTTGATGTCTTCATGTTGCTGGCTCTGAAAACACAGAAATAAGTGAACGATGATCATCTGGCTGTTAGTCCATCTCCTGTAATCAATCCTCCTTTATCTACTTTTGTTCAATAAAATCACCAATAAATCCTATTTCATTGCCCTTTAATAAGACCATCTCCTGACTTTAAGTAATAATAAATAACTATTTGGAAAACTCCACAAAATCCTAAAGAATTGCTAAAAAAACATGTAGTAAATCTCTTTAATACCTATGAATGCTTAAAAAATCTTGACTATTTCAGAAAAATGGACTTTATATTGACATGCTAAAGAACTACTCTTACCGTCAGATGAGCTTTCTCTGGAAGTGGGATTTCAAATGGAATGTCTGTATCCTGGAAATCAGTATGGTCCAACATATCCAATGATCCTTCCTCAATTGCCTAAAACCGCATTAAATATCCAATCAAGTATAATTCAAACTTGTAACTTATTACCTCACTGGTGGGATAAGATAGTCAAGGGAGATACTCAAGGCAATTTTAGACAAGAGTATCAGTGAAACTGATGAGTGCTCCCCAAAAAGAATTTATTGAACTCAAAATTTAAACAAAGGGCATCAATTCTGTAATTAAGGAGTTATGGGCCCTGAATTTGGTATCCTGCACGTTGTCTTTGCATGATCAATGGATCCAAGTTTCCTTATTCTACCTTAAATACAAGCAGAGTTATGCTCTGGACAAGATATTTGTAACGAAGGGCAACAACTCTGTAAGTGAGGGGTCAAGGGCTATGAAATTGATACACTACATATTGTGTTAGGATGATCTATGATAAAAAAAAAAAAAAAAAAAACTTTCATTGACCAAAATCATGATACAAACATTACATTACAAGACATTATCCTAATTTAAATACAAGAAATTTAAAGTGCTCTAGACACAAAATTTTAACAAAGGACAATAACTCAGTAATAATGGGGTTCCAGGCCCTGAATATGTTAAACTACATGTCGTTTTAGTATGATCAACGTATACACCAAGTTTCATGATCCTTGCTTAACTGTGGGCAAAATTTTGGGGAGCATAAATATCTCCTCTTCGAAAATGGTTTGACTTATAAACACTGGAATCTGTAATGTGATTCTAAAATGTTTTTTAATAGAAGTTATAAAACTTTTGGAAATAATTGATGCAAAAGAAAGGCTCCGTAATAATTCTATGTATTGTGAAATTTTTGTTTGTTTTTGTCTATGGTTCTTATTTTGCTGGTTTTATTGAAAGCTTGAACCAAAACAGGAAATATTTTTTTTATGAAAGTCTCATGAAAAAGACTGGTTGTCTTTCCTAATTCCAGTTTTATTTTGTCTATTTTTGCAATTCTATTCTATTTGTGGAAATACTATAAAAACGAACCATGCAGAAATAACAACATTTACAGCTATTCAACTGTAAATTAACAGATCTAATTGTCAAATAGTGGACTGTGGATAATAATACCTACCTCAGATATATCTAAGTATCTGTTCAGGAACACAAAAGCCATGTTTTCCTGATTGGTGGCCTGAAATCATAAAAAATACATCCAAGTTTGATTGGCTATCTTTCTACATCAAGTATGGTTTAGTATTGCAGCAAGTGATTTTTAACTTTGTTTCAAATGTAGACTTATATGCCCCTGCATATTAACTTTGTTTCTTACAAGACCTTGCTATGTTTTACAGTATGATTGCATTGCATTAGAGTAAGTAATATGTCTAATATAATGACTATAGGTTTTATTGTTCTGAAAAAGAATTCATTCCTTTAAAATAATAGGCAGATGATGGTTGCTCAACTATCATATACTTAGGTCACAGGTGTTATGTTTAGTTGGTGAGCAATAGGGAAGATTTTAAGATCTAGATATTGCGAATTGTTTCATGTTTGTAGTATTGTGTAATTATCTTTGACATACCCGACACATCATGCCAGCTTCATAAAAGGCTTTGTCGGCAGGAATGATGTCAGTGTGGCGCAACAATGATATGGACAATTTGGTAGCAACACTGTCAAGAGATTTATGGGCCATGGCTGAAGACCGTGTAGCATAGTAATGAGCAATTAGTAACATCCACTCAAACTCCTCATGTTGTGGAGAGTTACTGTCTGGCGATTTGGTCATATTCTCACACTGCAAATTTCAAACATATATGATGATAAAAACGTTTCTTTAACTTGCTGTTGTCATTATTTCATTGTATATCAATACTTTTTTGTTTTGTTTTTTTTTTTAATATTTGCGCAAGGTTTTTAAAGCTTGTTACATGAATATCAATATTCCATTCAATTCTTGACAACATCGATATGTTGCACTGTTACCATAGATGATCAGAATAACATGTTGAGGCAACATGAGCCAAAAATAGTTAATACATAAATGAAAATTAAACAGATACACCTAGGTCTGACATTTCATTTTAAGAGAATGTTTGTAATATCTTTGTGTCAATACTAATAACCAAAGAAACTATATTTAATCCAAATCTATTGTAATTCTGTGGATATGATCAAAAATGTCTTTTACTACTTTATATAAATGTTCTCTCATAATTGCTTTGAGCTTTTACCATTCCTTTGATTTAAGATTTGTATGTTTTCAGTTTTAAATTAATTGGAAGAAAATCAGTATCTTGCAATATGATCGAATTTAGCAAAGAATTATTACAAATCTTCAGATCTAGTAGTCACAGATGAGCATTTGAATTATCTCAGTTTTAAACAGACAAAACAAGACTTACCAAATCAAAGAACACATCTCTCAGATCAGCCCAAACTCTGTAAGCTTCTGGTCTATTTAGGTCACGTGTGTTTACTATATCGCTGAATATGCGTTTGTAAATGTTAAAATTCTGAAAAAAAGTGTAAACAGGGTGAATATAACCATGTGTGTAAACTAGATATTCAGACTTCTAACCTGTTAAATTCCGTCTAATCCACTATTTAAAAAATATGACAGAAACTTTGGATATTTATTTTCAAATTCCGATTTTCAGTTAACAAAGTTTTATATCACAGCACATGAACCATAAAAACTTGTATATGGAAGTAACATTATCAAGTGCAGTTCTCAGTGTTTATGAAAGCCTACAACAGGTAAAATATGAGTTTTGGTTTCAATACCTGGGCATTAGCAGGTGCTCCATATTTTACATAAATCTCCATAGCTCTGCGACTGTCACCTCCCTTGATCAGCTCAGTTGCATATAAGGCAGCATACTTGTGTAATATCCTTGGATTCTATTTTACATGAATTAAAAGAAAAATAGGTGGCTTTCAATATCATATTCTCAGTCCAAATAAAACAAGAACCATTTATCCACAAAATTCTTATATGTAATCAAGTACAACAGCAACAGAATATATAGGTATTGTTGTATTTTCCTTCGTTTTTCTTTGGCATTGACAAGAAAACTACTAAACATTGGTAAGAAATTCTCAATATATTTCTGGCCTTAAAAATGTTCTATGCAGACCTATGAAATTAAAGCTAATATTTCTTTTAAAAATGAGACACCAGTTTATTTGACATTCAACAATAAACACATACCGGTAATCTACATTAAATGGTGAGAAGAGAAAATTACATCCAATATTAAAATCCTTATTAATTGATCATTTTTTAATGAAGATTGTGCTATGAAAAACAGTTGCTATGTAGGTTTATTTATTATATTTAGCAATGCTTGTAAGATATGAAGATGAATACTTATAATTTTTTAATGTTCCAAAGATTTCTATTATCTTATGCTTTACCTGTTGTTCTGCTGTTTGTAGACATTTTTCCCATTCGCCCTTGTTAGCATACATATCCAGTGCCCCTACGACATCAACACTGGCCAACTGTAAATCATCAAATATCATTGATTTCCTTTTGAGGGTTTATATATGAACATTTTTCTGCTATATTGATATAAACAGTAATGAACAAGGCCATGTCAACTTCTTCTAGGGTCAATCAATTTCTTTTTTAATTATGTATAAATGACTTCATCAAAATATTCATTTGCAAATGTATCCAAAGATGTTGTACATACATTTTAAACTTTATTCTCCTTTTTTTTTATTCATAACCATCAATTTCTAGGACATCTGCATCAGTGTGTTTTTGAAGATCACAAGACAATTACAAGACAATTACAACAAATGTAATCTATTTATTTCTATAATTCAAGTTGTTTCAGTTGCCATTCTACTACCATAAATACCGGTATACAAGAAAGCTTTGATAGATTTCAGGCAAAGATATAACTTTAAGGATTTTCTAGCACTTCTGAATCAGTAACACTGAGCTGCAAGATAGGGTTTCTTTGGGTTAAGAAATGTCTATTAAAAATGATCCTGACATCAGAAATTTTATACTTACAGCCTCTGCCTTTCCTTGATTCTTCAAATGGTCTTTATAACGTTCATCAACATATGACTCTAATCTACAATCAACAAACAGGTATATATCATATGTCTGTTCCAAATTGTACTGTTAATGATTATGTCAGAAAAAAATCATCAATAATAATGAGCTTAATAAGGGATTATCTTAAGAATTTTGACAATGGTGATATGATACAGGGTCCAACATTAAGAATGAACAGATGCAACAGTTTGTATAAATCAAATGCTGCAAAATCTTACAAAATATTTGCTGCATCAAATATCTGTATACATAGAGGTAAATATATTTCTAGTTGAAAATATGTTTCACTGCAGCTGGTCAAAGTTCAACTTCAGGAAAAAGACACCTGTTAACATGGTTTTTCAATTACTGGAATTCATTGTTTTAAGATTATTGATAAATACCTAGGTTCTAATTCCTTGGCCACCTTCTTAGCCTTGTTCCAGTCCTCCCCTGATATAAACATGTCTATAGCTTCTTTGATAAGATCAGCACTGAGGTAAAGTTCAGCTGCCTAAAAACATAAAATATCAACACTTAAAACTTTTTATTTACCGTTTTATATATTATTATTACAGTTTGCTTCCACAGCAATACCACAAATGTCAAGATTTTTTTAATGGTTTGCATTTTACAAAAAAGCATGAAGCAAAAAGAAGTCATGAGACAGGCTATGGTTTATATAATTTTTATTTTCCAAGGGTTCAATTCTCATGAAATTTCAAAATGATTCTGCTGAGACATGATATCTTAATAAAAAGCACTCTTGTACTCAAAATACAAGCCAATTATTTAATATATTTTATTATAGGGATAGAGAAATTCATGGATTTAGAACAACCAAAAAAGCAAAGAAAATTCAAATGAATGGTTTTATATTATGCATGGGAATCAAATTTTACCTTGCCGTGCTTCCTCATATCGGCCAACTTAGGTGCTACAATTTCCACCACACTCTGAGCTTTACTCTGTCCAAGGAACTTTATGGCAAGTTCACCTGCCTGATTTAAAAAGATAAAAAATAAAATACCATCACATTTTTTTTTATTGGAACCTAAAAACTGGTCAAACGAAGTCAATCCATTACTTCCCTGCTGTGAGAATACATAAATTTAGTCTGATTTAGATTTCTCATGTGAATTTTTTAGGTTTTATCATAAAATTGACTAACCTTGACCCAGCATTTTTCTACGACATTCATGTCACTGATGAGTTGGGGAGTGACCTTCAGATAACACTCTATGGCCCTAGCATATTCTCCTGATGACTCCCACTCCCGTGCCTGCTGTACCATGGACTCTGCACCTCTGTAAATAACAAAACTGGATGTTAATATACTTTTACATCTCCACTAATAGTAAATGTGTATTATGTTATGCCTTGTATGCCTGAATCAAACTTTAGTAAAAAAAAAAAAAAGAAAGAAAAATCTTTATGTAAGATAATAAAAATTTGGAAATTGATATGAACCTTAATATTAAGAAAATAAGTATAAGCACCATTTCTCATATTAAGAGTCATCCACAAAAATATTTTATAATAACCTTGTAGATTTGTCAGTCATCTCACGATCATATTCATCCTGAAGTCCCTGTAACTTGTGGGGAACATATTCCTTACAAACTCGCAGGGCATCCTGCCACATCCCTGACTCCTGCAGAAATAATAGATAATGTTTCATTATACAGATGGTTATCAAATACCACAACATCTTAAAAAAATAATGTGAAATTTATCGTCTTACCACCAAAATTGTATATTCCAAGAACACTGTTTCCCTTTTGTTTTTTAAATTATGATGGCTTTTTTTTTTATTATTTGCATCTTTCAAATAATCATCATTGTTCTTGATATTTCTAATAATTTTTACAGCTAATTGTTAATGAATAAAATATCCTCCACAGATTGCTTCCAATCACAAGTTAAATGCTATTATTTCTTAACTATTCTATAATCCTGGAGTTTAAACTGTAACATCAATATTTTTGTAATAAAATAAAAAACCTACAATGATTGATACTGATCATAAAAATTTCTTTCTAAAGATATAACCTTTTAACAATATCAGACCAATAATTCTGTTCATAAATCTTCACTATTGATTTGCTGTAGATAGTTAGTACCAGACATTGTTTACCTTGTAGTATTTGACAGCAAGCTCTGGTCTCTGGGCACGCAGTAAATAAGATTCAGCCCTAGCATACTCTTTCTCCTCGAATGCAAATCTTGCCTGTCCTACCAGAACATCAGCTACAGAGTCGGAATCATGTGACTCCGCCACACGCTGGGCAGAGTCCCAGTCTTGATTGTGGACATACCTAACAAAATGATAAGTCTAATTTTTAAGAAAAAAATATTTCTTTAATTTCTACAGAAAGACAAAATTCTGGGTATCAAAATTTATTCTCTTGTTCCACCTATTTTTAGTCAGCTAAGCTAAGCAATAAATCAAAACAAAACCTTCAAAATAACAGAACTTCACATTACTGTTCTAATACTAATTAAATGCAATATCACAAGATTTCTCCTCAATTTCCAATTATTATTCTTTAATTTAAAATTTAAAGGAATAATAAACTAACAAATGAAATAGAAAAAAAAAGAAAAGCATTTTATTATAATAAACTGCTTAACATCTAATAACATATGTCTTCTACTTACATAAGAACAGCCTCTTTTGGTTTTTGTGCTTGAATAAATTCCCGTTCAGCATCTGCAAATCGTCCTTCATCTTCCAAATACATGGCATGTTTTAGGTGGATATCTGGCAGTTTGTTTTTCATGGCTAAACGAGCCAGTTCAAAAGCAAAATCAAATGCACTGAAAGGAAATAGAGTTAAACTGTGTGTCAACCATTTCATGCATCATTTACAATGTTAATTTGATATACTTTATACGTTAACTGATGTAGTACAATTTTTTGTTCACTTTTTTATGTCTAAAAGTTAATTGATGATTTATTAGAGAGTAAATTCACTATTTTTTTTACATATTTATAAAATTATACAAAACCAACTCTTCTGATTCTGCTATTACTAACTTTCCCAATTTCTGGTGATTAACTTTCCCAAAACCATCTAGAGTTCATACTATGGCAATCATTGTTTTTATTGTTTCAAGTGTTTATATGAAGTTAATCATTTTTAAGAATTTATTTGTTTGTGAAATTCTCGAGAGTAAATAACAATTATTCCTCTAACTTTCTAGGTACACAGTGAATTTCTTCACAATAGTTCTTTTTTTGTTTTATATTAATGAAAAATGATTAGAGAATACATTCTATACTGTACCAATTTTCTGCAGCATAGTCAATTGCTGCTTCCAGTAAACCAAACTTGTTGAGGAGTTTGACAGCAGAGTCCCCACCCAGACTTCTTGCCCATAGATAGGCTACCTGTTTAGCAGCTGTTGGACCACCAGCATTCTTTGCCACCTGTAACACAGACCAAAATGAAGTTTCTGGCACTGATTAAAAACCATTACATTAGACAGTTACATAAAATTGTGAAATGTGGCAAAGTTGGCTCAATCAGCATTTTATTCAAGTATGAAATAGTAGATACATACATGCCTTTCATCAAGACAACCAGGGTTTGATTCCCATGATAAAACTTGGTGTCAACTACTTATATGTTTCCTCTGGTTCTCAATAAATGCAGATTTTCTTCCTCATGTTAACCCAGACAAACAAAAGTGACCGATTCAAGTTGATATAACTTTTGTAAGTTGACTTCTGTAGGTTTCACAACTTACTAAGTCCTATTTCTTAATATAATTTTGTTCCCACTAAAAGCTCTCAAGTCTATTACTCTACTTATAAACCCAAATTTTATGCAACATCCTACAAATAAAGCTACTGTCTACTAAAAAGTCCTGATGCTAAATAATAAATAATTAAGTTCTAACTTTATGTAATAAATGGGCCACTTGTATATCAATGGCTTACCCTGTGCGCCTCGTCCCACATGTCCTGAGATCGATACATGTTGACAGCACTCTTCCAGTCATTAGCCTCCAAAAAGTGGTGCTCAGCCTGACGTAGGCTGTTGTCAGTCTCAAGTTCCTACAAACCACAGCAAAATTGGAAAACTTTAAAGCTGACTTATCATAATGAAAATAGACAATACCTTGAAAAAAATTGTCATTGTTTGTGAGGGTTTAATATTATTGATTTGGTCAGTACATCAATATTCTTTATCAACAAATTAATGATCTGTTTGAAATTTGATGGGAATATGATGCACTAGTGGATTTTTTTTGTTCTACTAGTATCCATCCATGACATCAGTGTCTAGGAAAAAGAAGAAGTTTTGTATTAAATTCAAGACTCATAAAACTATATATTTTTACAGCAGGTTCATTATCACATCTCATCCATCCTTCACCAATTATTTGAAAAAGTTCTATTGATACCATATTTTCCGGGTTATAAGATAAATTTCAAAAAATGTACAACGGCAAATATCGGACTTGTTTGGCTTGGGTGCTTTCACAGATTGTCTACACACAGGTATAGGGCCTGACATTACATACAGTTTACTAAACAATCTCTCCATCCGTGTCTGTACTGTTCAATATTAATGAACGACTCTTGCATGCTGACCTAATTCTTATAGTTCCATATTATTTCTTCTTTCATATTGTAAACAAGCATGGCAGTCATTCAAAGAGTTGACCTATAATCCGATGACCTATCAATTCTAGGATGTAAAAGGTTATTGTAAACTACCACTATGACTTAAAAGTAACCGCCAAAGTCCAGAAGATATTATTGTGATTCATATTTTAAAGTATGATTAATTAAATCCCTGAAAATGTTATTTTTTATTTCAATTACAAATGACAGTTCTTGACAATCAGTTTCAGTCACAAACACATGACAGCAGGTACTCATTAAAAAAAATTCAATACCATCTCGCAATGGTAAGCTTCCGGTTTTAATTTTCATCCTGCCAATTTTTTTTTATCCATCCACATATAAACTGTATGCCAGACTTACGAGGTAAAAAGATGCTGCTTATAATCCGGAAAATATGTTATATAGAAAAGGTGCCGCTTATAATCTGGAAAATATGTTATATAGACTTGTGGTCAGACCTTTGCAAGATGAATGTGTGTGTCTTGGACAAGGTCGGGATGATGTGTCTTCACCAACTTTATCATATCCCCATACATCTTGTTCTTCTTGTACATTGTGATGGCCATGTCAGGCTCATTGACAGCTACATACAACCTGTATATTGAAACATGAATGCTGAAGACAAATTTTCTATTATGATTATTTGAAATCCCAAAAACACAAACTGACTGCATCAATTTCTTTCAGAAACATACATGTAAAATTGTGTCAAATGTAAATGTAAATAATGCAAAATCAGCTTTTCAATAGAATGTATTTACCACAGACTACAGATATATTACACGAAGATTTGATATGCAACAGGTTTTGGTCATTTTTGGGCTCTCTGATTCCAAGTGTGAAACATAAAACTAAAATGACAATCATATATTCCATATAGCAAATTTACTAAAATTTTGACCGACTTTTCTGCCTCCTTGAATTTTCCCTGGTCCTCTAGTTGTCGGGCTTGTGAGATATAAAGTGTGGCTACATCATCTGCCTTCATGTAACCTGATGCCAGCTGTAATACAGAGAAAGGAGAAAAAATGTTTTACTACACCATGAAACATTACCATCTCATCATCATCATCATCAAATCTAATTTTTATTATAAAGTAACAATTAACACACTGACTAATGCTTATTGTTTAAATGGTTTACAGTTCTTTTGACCTACCTTGTGAGCCATCTCCCATCTACCAGCATTGTTATACATATCAACTGCCTCTCTGGTACAACCAGCCTCAACATAATATCTCTCAGCTGTCTGGATTGGAAAGAGTCATCAAACCATTAGGGTTTTTTAATTTAGATATTAACAGTCTTAACTTGTAGACACTAATTTAAGCCATTAATTACTGTAAAAAGATGACTAAAATATTTGTTTAAATAACTTTTTATCAGAACCTCTGAAGGTGTTCTATTGCTTTAAAGACAAATATTTGTAAGCATATCACTACAGACAATGCAATAAGTTTTGTTTAATAAGGGAAAGGCTAAAATATGTAAATAAAGGAAAAATCCACAATCCTAAAACTAGTAATCTAAACTATATAAGGAATTTTTCATAAATTACTTCAGCAACTATTATTGGGAAAGGTAGACTATTTTCATTTGTCTTTCCTGTGAAAATCTTTCCAGCTGCATCTGAGCTTACATCTGACACCTTAGCAATGTCAAAATTTTCAATTTTGGTTTTTTAAAACCATTATGGAAAAAGACCTGACCAAATGCTATCTATATTCCTGCAGCTTACCTCCAGTTCACCAATCGAGGCATAATGGTCTGCTATTTTCTTGTAGTACTTGGCAGACATAGAGGGGTCTTGAAGCTCCAGAATCTGTACAGCCTTTGCCCATTGTCTTGAGCTAATGGCAGCTTCCACAGCTTTCTTAGTTGCCCTGAAATGAATCGAAGTTTACAATGATATCAAGACATCTACCAATTTCTAAGAAGAAAATGTCTCCATCTGATTCATTTTATCTCGACCTCTCTTACGAACCAGTTGGGCCTGGTTCCCTATGTTTTCAATACTGACAACTTTTTCTGCAACTCTATATTCTCTTTCTGACCAAACTAACATCAGTCAATAACTCTTAATATCTAAGAATGTAATCCTGATTTCTTCTACCTTGACCTTTCAATTATGACCTCTGACCTCTGATTAATGGCCTTTGACCTGTATTTTTACTGTAAAACATCAACTAGAACTGTCGCCTAGATGGCTGACCAATACCCCACCGCACACTGCAACGAGTCAATGGATAAGTTAAAGTGTTATTCTGAGAGTAATTGACATATTCTGCATGTGCCTGCATTTCTGGAAATCAGAAGGGGTGGAATACATGTTGTTCATGATCAAGAGAGTCTTGCAATACTTACATCTTTATTGAAGTAATATTTTCCACTGAAGGGCCACAGAGACAAAAAAATGGTCACTATAATAAGTGGGTACTACATCAATCTCAAACTCATCTGGCAATCGGTTGATAATCAGAGGCCAGGATTGTGTTTCTGCGGTAACAGTTTGGGAAACGTTTAATATGTCCAATTATTAGCCTTACTGAATTACATCTTTTTACTAAGTTTGAATACAATCGGTCAAATAACTGAGGAGTTATGGACATTTATTAGAAAACTTGTTTATAGTGACCAGTTACCATGGCAACCAAAATTTTCAAAAAAAGAAAGGGGCATGCATATCTACACATGATCCTTAATATTCCTGTAAAGTTTCATCAAAATCGGTTCACAGGTTTAGGAGGAGTTAGCCGGACAAAATGTGTCTACAGACAGACGGACGGACGGACAGACGGACAACCTGATTCCAGTATACCCCCCCTAACTTCGTTGCGGGGGGTATAATCACCATAGCTTCTTCAAATCATCAATCTTAAACCACAATTCACACCATCAAAGTAAGATAGGAATCTAATTTTTATTACAACTGTATAATATTCCATCAAAAAAAATAGAAAAGGAAAAGACCACTCAAAAACCAACTTTAAAGTAATTGCTGTCATACAAACCCAGCTTCTATGAAGTGACTGATGGCATTATCCAACTGTTTCTGCTGGACTAAGTAATCTCCCCAGTCCTCTTCCAGCTTCACAACCTCACTCGGGTACGAATTCCGTGCCAGTTTAACAGCTGAGAAATACAAGTGAAGACTTATGACACAGTTTAATGAAGAACCCTGATTACATCAGCTCCATATACAATGTATTTGAAATGTCCAGTTAATATATACCATAATAATATACAAAACCTATTGATATTGGCATTTCATGTCCTCCAGGCATATTGTCCTCTTCAAACTGTTACTTTAAGAGGATACAACAAATCTTAAGTTAAGGCCATTTGAATCTTGTCACACTTTCAGGTACATCAGAAATTAATCAGTTATTCTTGTTGGTCCAAGAATTAATGCAAATTCTAAATTGTTGAGTTAATTTTTGGTGATAACTCGACAGATTTTCAATGGTCAAATTATCACAGTTATTGACCAAATTCTTAAAGGAAACAGATGTGTTTTTTGCAAAGTCCTGTTATTGACTGTCATATTCTATCATTATAATTCAATTTTCAAGGCATCTTTTTTGCCTAATTTTATTCCATACTTGGTGAAAACTAGAGTTCTTCAAAAATAACACTTCTGTTACCTCTATGATAAGCTCTTCCCTTTTTGAAGCAGTCCATAGCCCGCTGTTGGTCATGTATCTTCTCATACATGTCTCCTGCCTACCAATGTACAAACAAAGAGTAAATAAACCTCTACACCATTCCATATCTTCAAAGGACACCCAATTTCCTTCCCTAAAGGGTTGGGTTGTGTGCCCTTTCATGCTGTTGGACTACTGAAGACATATTTGAGGCTAATAAAATTAATATTTTCACCAATCAAGAAAAGCTAGTGACTACTTGATCTCAAATCTGACTAGATTCCACGTCTGGAAATTATCTTTTCAACCTCTAAAAGAGAAGTTCATGGAATGGCATGCAACGTTCGTATTTTTACAATAATATCACTTCTGGTTTATGATATATCTTTGGCATAATGGGAACTTGACTTAAGGAGAAAAGTTGAGTCTACCCTCAATTTTTAATTAATCTATTGAAAGATGTAAGAAGATGGGGAGGGTGTGATTAAGTTAACTATTAGTAAATGAAAAACTTACCCTTTCATACAATTCTCCTTTGATTAACTCAGAAGCAATTCTGCTGATGAGGTCCGAATTTGACATCAGCTCCTATGTATGGAAAAAAATATTTTTCTCAATATCTAACTACCTAATATCAAATACAAATTTTTCAGGAACCTTACTTGAATATTATTTGAATAGCTAGAAGATATATGTCAAATACATAGGTTTATATGTATTGGAAATACGAACAGCAGAGACAGTCTCTAGTGTTGTGGTCACACATGTGTCTAACATTAGCAAATATTGGACTACCTAATAATCAAGCAAACAGTGAGGTCAGTCTCTCTATCTTAGTACAGTGTTTAGCTTGGGGTCATGATAGCTATATAAGTGAGGCTACACTGTATCACAGATCTAAACCTTTCACTCTATTTATATTTACAATATCAAGACTACATTTGAACAGTAAATGTATTTACAAGCTCATAAATTTCAAGACTACATTTGAAGAGTAAATGTATTTACAAGCTCATAATCTGCTAATAAATAAACACCATCAACCTGTAGCAACATGGTTAACAAAAATTGTAAATTGTTTCGTCCTACAAATAAAATCTAGGAACTATCACCAGGATGTATGTAAAGAATTATCCAAAACTCATGCGAGATTCCTATTACCAATACACTGTAAGCTTCACCTCCTTTTGCTTAAAATCACAAACATGGAGTTAATATTTGACATTACACAATCAGAAACTAGATGACAATAATCAAATATATAGAAACTGTGCTTATCCGGCTATTAGCCCATGCCTGCTAATAAGCCCACTCACATATAAATATATATATATATATATATATTATATATTACTCTTAGGTAAAATTACCAACAAATGCTATTATATCCTGTCCTTTATAACCACTGACTTTAAGTCAGTTGATATGCTAGCCCCTCAGGCTTATTCTGGAATAGATACAGTAATTACCTCTCGACTTGTGGCAAGTCGAGCAGCTCTAGCTGGCAGGCCTGCTTTCATGTACATGTTGATGGCAGCCATGTAGTCCTCCTCATGTTCTTTCACCTGTAATAATCACCATTTACATTATAATTGATTTGTTATCTGACCTTGAAAGACCCTATCATATAATAATGAATATGTACCAGGGATGTGTGTATCTACAAGCCTAAATTACTGGCCAACAGATTATTATATTGAGACTAAGATAAAAAATTATCAGCTGTGAAAATAACGTAAAGTTGGCAGATTTTTTTTCTTTTTTTTTTTTTTTTTTTTTGTCAAAAACTCTCTGCAGACAAGTACTTTACGTTTGACATTGTAGACCAGTGCATATAAACAGAATGTTCTCTGGTGTAAAATCTTCATGGGATCTAAAATGTCACTGGAAAAACTACTTTATCAGTAAGGTCTGCTGGCCAGAGGAAGCACTGCAAGATGTTTTTTTCAAAATCAGATGCTGAAATATAAATACCTCTCCTGCTTTCTCCTCCTGTCCAGTCTCCATCAGCCAACCATAATAGCTCCTTTTCAAATTATCCAGTTCTGGGTGGTTCTGACAAATTACAATAAATAAACACATTAATTTTAATGAATTGTCATATCAAATATGAAGTTAATGTGGATTAAAAAGTTATCACTAGTCTGTCTGAGTAGATTCCTGGATTTACTCCAGAGACCTCAGATCCCTTTGCTTGACCTATGGCCCGACTCTTTAAAGCTTCCGTATTGTTCTCAACAATTATGACCCTCAGTGCTTTGTACTTTAACAAATAGGCACTGACAACAAATAGTCATAAGGAAAATCATGAATTACCAAAATTATAATATACCTCTAATCTTCTATATCACAACTTATAAAAACAATGATTTACAATTTAATCTGCTACAAAACTCTTAACACCCTGTTAAACAATTCCCCATAATTCACTCTTCATGACCATCTTCTCATCCTCAGAAATTCAGTTATTTGTTCAGTGACCACCTATAGGAGAGACAGATCAACTCTGTTCAAACTACAAAAAGTCTGTAAGACATGAATGCCTTGCTGCCAAGGCGTTGATGTGGGACCCCCAAAACACAACAATGACAAAGTATATTTTGCATAAAGTATGACCAAATGCCATGAAAGAATGAAGCTGTCAAGTTTTTTTTAATGAATCTGTTGATGATTTTCTATATAAAGAAAGGAGACCTTGGCCTTGACCTTCGGGCCTCTGAAGCACAACAATGTCCAAAGTATACTCATAATTGATGTTTATATAAAGTTTGACTGAAATCTGTCAAAGAATGAAGTTACTAGATGCTTATATTGAATCAAAACGGGATAGGACAGAATGGGACGGGCCAGACATGGGCAATGCTATATGCCCCCTTCTCTTCCCTGTTAAGTACCTCTTCAGAAACCATCACTGTTGAGTTACCACCCCTTTGACAAGTTATCACTTTAGTAACGAGACCACATCTCTATTTGAACACCTCCAGTTAAGATTTGATAGCTGTATACAGTATATGAGGTCATTTACCTTGGCCTCTGCCACTTCTATAGCCTCATCCCACATATGCATTTCTTGGTACATTTCCATGGCCTCATCAACGTGGTTCTGTAACATATAATAATAGCATAGTATCACACTAATCAACTCACAAAGAATCTCAAGATTCTGTATTACAAAGCACCAAAACAGTAGTTTTCAACATAATTATGAAACAATTTACATGTTCTTAATACTCCTATGACCAAATTGTCCTCACTGCTACACAGATAAAAAAAAAATTTATTTAGAACACCATAAAACCACTTATTTCTCAAACAATCAGAATGGTACACCATCATATCTACATGGCATTGCAAATATTTTGAATTCCAATATTGCTATAAAATTTCTGCTCTAGAATATAAAATATTCCTACCAAGATGTTGGTTTTATCTCAAAACAAATATAAAAAACAACATAAAGTATTTAAAACAATTGTATAGAATTTAACTATGATAAACACCTGTTCTAAATAGATGCCTTCCGCTTCCTTGTACCTCTTCTCCATGATGGAGAACCTCGCTCGAACTCTGTAGTTACTGAATCCATCTCCGCCCTTCACAACAAATACAAGGAATTCAGCCAACTGAATAAAAAGCTTTAACATTCCACACGCTGAATTACATGAAATATGAAGATATATATGAGGAATGAGAGAAATATTCATATTGCATTTCACATGAGGAGTATATTGTAATTGCTGATAGCATGTCAAAACTTACTTCATGTCACATTGAGTATTTATATACTAAAACACATCTAGAGAAATGATCAGTTATAACCAAAAATATGTATCAGTGTTGATTCTCCAACTAATCTTATACGTAATTGTTATACAGATTTTATACCAACAAAAAAAAGCACTTACTGTAGTCTGGGCAATTTCCTCTGCTATTCTGAATGTTTCCTTCATGTATCGTGCTTTAGCAATATCACCGAGTGCTGAATAACACCTACAAATTAAAATAATTTAAACTTCGATTCTCTAAAGTGAGTTTATGATTCTGGGGAATCACCTTATAGATCACATAAAAAAATGTCATACATGACATCTTAATTTCCAAATGTCACAGTTAACTCAATTTCTGCCTTTTACATCATTTATGGCACAACATGGTCCAAAATTTTTAAATTCTCTAGTCAGGCAAACTATCAAGTGGACAGCAATTCAGTCATACATATTAAAAATTAATGCTTATATAAATATGAATTTAGACTGACACAAACTAGCTGTAATAGCTGAGGAGAAGGAAAATTATATCAGAATCTACTCCTACCTCTCTGCTATGTGTAGTTGGCGATCTTCCATTGAAAGTTTGCTCAGTGTTTTCCACATGGCCTCAGTTTCTGCTGACATCTCCAAGGTCTCAAGAAAAGACACAGCCCTGAAAGGTAAACCACATCATGTAAATTTTAAACACCACAAAATCATTACTCCCTCTAAAATTGAAATTTCTGAAAGAAAAATAAAGTCGACAGCTTATCACTGACTTCAAAAAAAGGCCCAAATAATCTTTGAATTCCTTATCCCTTTCTTATTTCCATCTGAATGGAAATGAAATTGAAAATAATATAACTGCTTTTGAGAAACCAGATCAATCACAACACCAAAGCTTTTTCAGAACCTATGATTATTAATTGAGTTAAGTGAGAACGGCTAAGATCAAGAATTTCGAATAACCAGAAACACATCACTGCATCCCATTATTTTAATACTGGACCCCTGCCCTGAAGGAATCATATTCTAAATTAATACAATAAGGGATTCCAGTCATCTTAGGATACTCCATAATGATTTATATTCAAATCTCTTCAGTCATCCTCAGGTTTACATAACACTATTTAACAATTTACCTTCTCTTTCAAATTTTGGACCCTGTTTTCTGCTTCAGAGGACCACAGCAATCAACCAAAATACAAAGAATGTCTAAAAGCTGCTCAACATCTTTAAAGAAATCATTCATTACAGATGAAAATTGTGCTATGATGTAATTTTTCTAGCTCTTTCTGATATATCCTTTTTTTCACTTTTCAGTTATTCAACTCACTACCCCAACAACCTGCCTTTTACCTTACCTTTCAAAATCCCCGTCATCGATGGCTGTTCCAAACTCAATCAGTCCCTCGTCCAATGTGTAGGAGATAGTGGTCACTCCTTCATTGACCACCACATCTGTCTTGCCGTCTGTCCTCTCAAGGTCCACGATGTCACCCTAAAGATCAGCAACAATAACAAAGTTCTGTTACTATGACAGAAACAGTAGAAACTTTACAAAGGCATTACAAAAGTTTCTTTGAATACAATAAAACATTTGAAAATTTCTTTTACATGGATGATATAAAACCTGAGGTGCAAAATCTAAATTTCTGTTTGTTCAATTATTCGCCTGGACATTTTCATGGGTATCTGCAAATCTTTTTTTTTGTTTATACATGTGGCCTTCATGTCATCAAATCTGAGTTATTTAGTTGATATTTTCTCAACTTTTTTTGTCAAATTTACAAAATTATAACCTCTCAAAAATTTTCTTATTTAGAGTACAAGATCTGAGATTTACTGAAATTTTTTTTGTTAATATCAATCCTACAATAGAGATAGTTACTAAATGACAAAACCTTAACATTGATCAGCCTAATATTTCAGCAAGTCTCACGGCCAATTTCATAGCAAGTGAACACTCAATCAGCTGTTTCTGAAAATCAACCACCTAGTATCCTGACAACACCAACATAACACAAATTTGATGGAAGTTGGAAGGTATTAACCTGATAATGGAATTATCATTCAATTTACAGGTCATCCATACCTTGAGTGGGAACATTGTAACTCGTTCTGGGGCATCAATGTTGTACCAGACGCACAAGTTACCACGGTTCTGTCCAACAACCACATCACTGCCAGGCACCCACTGTTCAAGGGAGATAACTCAAATCACCACCACAACAAAATGTCATCAAAGGAGATAAAATATGTTCTTTTTTAATATTAGATTTCAAATGGTTATTGACAAAAATAACATCAACATAGTATAACTTGATGTTTATTTTGTATACTTAGTAACCTTAGCAGAGCAAAATTTAAAGAAATCCTGAAAACGTAAGTTCAAACATTTGAAAATAAAATCAATGTAACACTAGTACAGTACCTGTACATAGGAGCAGTAGTTGAGGATTGTAGTCCGCTGTTTAGACTCAACATCATATAAGTTGAGCTGCAAAACAACATCAAACAATATAATGTCATTTATACTTAGACAATACATTCAAATCCAGATGAAAAATAATCATCATCTTAATCTTATCATAAATACATAAAATGACCCTGAGAGAAACCCACCCCTTAAGATTGTCTTCTTTCCTTTCATACAAGCTAACCATGCATATCATTACAATGAAGCTACAAAAATACTGAGACTGAATTACAAACAAATGGCATTTGACCTTCAGATACAGATCTGAGAATTTGAAGTAGCATAATAAATTATTTGAACCTGAAGCATTAAAAACAAAGAGATTAACCACGTGTTAGTTAGTGGATAGAGAAACAAAGTAACCAATGTAAAATTACCCTCATTCTCTTGTCTCTGAACAGCATCTTACGTCCAGTCTCATTAAGCTCCAGCCAATCTATTTTGGACTCATGGCTAACTTGACCCAAGGTCAAACCAGAGATCAAGTCAACTGAAATGTCAATAATTGTGTTATTGTATACCATATTCCTGAAATTCAAATTATTCAGAAATCAAAACAATACATCTCTGTCCACTTCATCGCTTTTTATCTAGTTTTGTCTTTAGTTTTTTGGGTTTTTCTTGCCAGACTCAAAACTATTATCAGAAGTATCATATACTGAAATTCAATTATGAAATATTTGTAAAACTCATTACTGTCATTTCATAAAAGCATTAGAATTTCCAATGCTTTAATAAAATCAAATCAAGAGTTCAGGTTTCACACTGAAACATATTCCTGTATTTCAAAACAAAATAATGAAAAAACACAGGAAACACTTTTTCAAAACATTAATCTTTAAATGTTTTCCATTGTTTTTTTTCTATGAAGTAATCAGAAAGTGTATTACAGATTTTCCATATAGTTTTACAATCTGCTTGGCTTAGAGGTTTCATTACTCCTCTAACATACACACAAATCAATACACACCAATAGCTACAGTCTTGAGATCCAGGAGGTAGGCAATCTTCTTGTTATCATCGACTCCTCTTTGTTTCCTCTCATTTAGTCTCACACTATCAAACAAACAAGTGAATTCTATCAATAGATCAAAGCAATTGTTTGAAATCTAAGTTTCATATTCTGATTTGTGATAAATCAGTTCAATTTCTTTTAACATCTAACAATAAAAGAACCCCAATACCTAATTCATTATGTAAGATAATTTTCCTTTGTCTTCTGGCTGCGATAGAACAGTCAGGAGAGCATTGGATTTTGTAACTTCAGGTAAGATCAGAAGTGCAGGGTTTGATCCCTACCTGGTCCTGTCCCTATCTGTCGGGAAATGACATCATAGATAATCCTGTGTTGTCATGTTTATTCAATAGTGCAAGACATTTAACTCTTAAGTGTTCTGGATTACAGGATAACTTATGACAGGTCTCTGGTAAGATGTTCAGTGAAATAGCAAACAAATGATCGACTACTAAATGAAGATCAATCTTCTAAGATACCCTGGCTGTTTACAGAGATATTTGCTTGGCACACCCAATGTATGCTAACCTTATGGTAACTGTTGATAGGTCTCCCTGTAACCCTTTTTACTTTGATTTTTACAAATACAGTCAAACCTTGTTATCTTGAACTCTTATAACTTGAAGACCCTGTATAATTTGGGTATTTTGTCAGTGCAGGTCAAACTTTACATTTAACATTCAATCTTACTTAAATCGAATAATCAGATAACTTCAAGTTTTCCCATGGCACTCTAACTTTGAGATAACGAGATTCAACTCTATGTAAACTTTGTTAACTTTTTATTTTTTTCTTATTTTTTTTTTCCATCTTGATAAACTAAATGTAATGTATCTGCAATATCTACCTGATGAGGTGAGGGTTCATGAACTCTGTCCTCACAGACCCCAGCACTTCATTGGCCCCATACTCAATCAGAGATAGCTCACCAGCATTGAAAATCATGCATACCTGTAATTTGATATGCATTTTACAGTACATTGTAAGACATATATTGCTAGGTTGATTTTTGGCATTTTTCTCCTAAATGATATTTATATTTTGACATTATTTCCTGTATGACATGTCCTATATCTGTATTAAAACTAACACGATATAATGATGCACATTGTATTCAAATTCCCAAAACGTTTTTCTTTGACAATATTTATTTACATCACAAAGTTTAAAATTTTACAGATATCAATTTTTCAAATGAAATCAAAATTTCTTAATAGCCTTTCAATTTATTTCTCAACAAAGACTAATTTTGAAATGTTTCTTCAAGAAATGTTTACTTGAATTCATAGGTAATATAATGTAATGCTATCTAAGAAACTACAAACAGAATAACATTTACAAGTCATTCAAATAGGTATTTTTTTTACAATACTACCAAAGAAAGAAAACTTTTTCAACCGACACTTTCATGGTGATATTTTTTTCCAAAATAAATGCACTACTCTAAACATCAAACTGTTACAACTTACACTTTCATTGTCAAAGTAGTATTTCTCATTTCCTCCTGTGCCATGCCAAGGAATCTACAAAAGATATCTCACTTACATACATGATCTTAAAATTTTTACAACTTGACAAAATACACCTAGCATGTCTCAATATATATGTTAATGGCAACAAAATTAGTGATTAGCAACAGCTGTCAAAATAAATAATTTTCTTAACAATCAACACAGTAAGCAATTAAAATTTTACTTCTGAACTACTTTGTAATATGAAATATTTAAAAAGCATAGTTTGTTCCTTTATATTGAAAAAGTGTAGAAATTATATTTTACCTCGCTAAGTTTGTTGGATGTGAGATCTCCCAACAGAATGGTGTCAGATGTGTGTGCTATCAAGTAGCGATCTTTGCCCATGATTCTGACTTCATCGATCTCATAGCCATAGTGAGACTTGAGCACTACTCGGCTCTGATTGGACATGTTCTTCACAATCACCTGAGTTCAAAATAACATTTCAATTTATAAGAGAAAAATCTCTAAAGGCTTCTCAGACATGTGCAATTAAATAATACATTGACAGGTAATATTTTTAACAAAAGCAGTCCCTTTATAATGTGTTCAGCACAAGCTGACTTTGACAATGTAGGCCATTCCTAATTATAAAGCCGCCACTTGCATCTTATATGAGAAATGAAAAGTATGTGAGAAATAAAAAGTACCTGTTCATTCATAAAATGTTTCTAATAGATGAATTTTCCACCTGATAAAGACAGTTAATTAATCATGGCAGCAAATACAAGGGCTGAATGATAAGTTGTGACCCTCATATTTAAGGATTTGACTTTTGGCAGACATATTGCATTATTTTTCAACTTAATTCCCCTTTAGTATCTATACACTTTTGCCAGCAATGTTTAAAGGCTTCAATGCCACTTTTAAAGAAGTCCTTTTCTTGACCATTCAGAAAGTCCTCCATTGCATGCATGACACCATCATCTGACTGAAAGTGGGTACAGGAAATAGCCTTTTTAATTTTGGAAATAGATGAAAGACTGATTGAGCGAGATCAGGCAAATAAGGTGGATGCTCCTTCAATTCAAAGCCACAATCATTAATGACAGCCGTGGCAATGACAGACTTCTGAACAGGGGCATTGTTGTGGTGGAACAACACACCTTTACTGAGTTTTTCGCTGCGCTTAAGTTTAATATTTTCTCTTAAGTGCCTAAGAAGTGATTCATAACATTTGCCATTGGTTGTCTGTCCATTTTGCAGATAATCTACCATCAGAATACCATCAGCATCCCAGAAAATTGAGGCCATAACCTTTTCACGAGATGGAACAGCCTTTGCCTTCTTTGGTGCGGGTGGACCAGGGTGCCTCTGAGGTGGAATGATGGATCTATGGTGTGCTTCTGATCAACTCTCAGAAGTCTTGTTACCCAACAGGCTGAGAGCTTTCTCAATGCAAGATCTTCTGTATGAATGGAATGTACTCTTTCCTGTAAAATCCCAACTGTACTGGTTTATATCTGTCTATAACTCACCTGTCAGCCATAACAATATCATGGACTTTATTGACCATTTCTGGGTTTGCAACAATGACGTGCCTCCCAGGACAGGTGTCATCCCCAAGGATCTGCTTGCCACACTTAAATTCCCTACCCATTTTTTCACTGTAGCATATGAAGAGGCATCATTCCCTAGAGTTGCTATCATATCAGTATGGATATCATCAGGTGCTAGACCTTTCTTAGGCCAATATTGAATCACTTCTCTTTCAGCGAACAAAGCCTTGTTTACTTTAGATGCTACCTCTTCAACATAAACTGACCAAATGACACCAGTCTTTGCATACACAGCCTTAAACAGTCAGGGAATAATAGAGCTGAAAAAGGACATCCCTGCTTAACTTCTTCAATACAAGGTTTATAACTTATCAATCAGTCCCTGAACATGCAAAATAGAAATACACACCTTAAGAACAACTTTAGTTTGGAACAGTAAATATGTTTTGACAGTGTCTTAATTACCTGACTAAGTCCAACATGCGTCATCTCAAATTTGTTTTTATATATGGTTCTCTTGAGACAGCAGTCAAAGATTTCCACACCTCCACAAAGAGTTCCCTGTGATAAAATGTATTATCTTCAACATATTTTTGCGAATTTGATGTAAATTTTTTTCATAACCCATCAAACATGTTGTAATAATCATATCTTAATATATCTATCTGAAAAAAATATTGATACAATATATTCCCATTCAATAAATTATTGTCTAAAAGCTAACATTATCTAATCAGGTGGTCAATGTTTTTTCAATAAATTCTTTTTCACAATCTTGGAATCTTTTCATATGTAAAACTAATTTGCCATAAAAATCTCCTAATATTATGATATGAAGCTTTCATTGTGTAAAAACATCTTAACTTTCACTTTGAGATGACATCAACATTTTGATCTTCTGATAATTTTCAATCTTTCGCATGTAGTAATACAAGAAGTATTAATGTGCAATTACTGTAAAACATATCATGAATTAACACTTACACAGGTTACTCTAGATCCATCCTTCTTCCATGCCAGGGCTGTAATTGTGTATAAATTTCTGATCTCTTTCAACTTTGGCTCGTCCCACATCTGTCGCCGAGGACTCCAGTTTAATGTTCTAAGTCTAAGAAAAACACAGGTTTAATATCTTAATCTTAAAAAAATATTAAAGATAATCTTCTCTTCTTAACAATACCTTATCTTTATGTAAATACAGACCAAAATTAATGTCTTTAAATTAGATAGAAAGGTAGAGAAACCAGTGACAAATTAGTTAATGGAAAAGCAAATCATGAAATCATGAATCTCAAATTTTATTTATACTCCTACTTAATCATACTTTTATTACTGATTTAGAACAACATGGATTGTGTAGAGTCTAGTTTTTTCCACTTCCTTTTATCACCAACATATGTACACCTCAATATCTCCTAATTGTAAAAAATCATAAAACAAACAGAAAACACTAACAGTATTTTTTGTATATTATTATATCACAGTATCTTTCTAATATACAAAATTTTCTAAATGCATGCTAAATACATTTATTGACACACTTACTAATAATTGAAAAACAAATCTTTGTACTGAATTCAAGATCGATAATTCTACTTACTTGTCAAAACTTCCAATAACTACTGACTGGCCACTGGGGCTACAGACAGCAGTCGTAAATTCATGCTCATCAGTTTCACGACTGAAGTCAAAATGTTGGAAACTTCTACCATCTCTTCCATAGGCAATAATTCTCTTGTCACATCCAGCTGCTACAATTGAATTCTGGGAATATGCTAAGGCATAGGGCGGACAAGGATGTGTGCAGACTTTACCCTGAAATGGATTTATTGAAATAAAAATAGAATATCATAGTGCAACAGACTTTTGTTAATACATGACACACCATAGATTGTTTGTGTTTATTATGCTTCAATGCAAACAAATTCCTGCAACAGCTGTAAAAGAGATCAAATTTCTAAGAATATCTTTTCAAATAGGACTTTTTTGTGTATCTATGTCAGGACTTATTTGCCTATGTCAAATGCCCATGTTTCAACTGAGATCACTTTCGTTCATAGCTTTTAAGATGAATGTCCATATTTGATATACGTTGATGTGTCTTCATACTTATGTCCATTTTTTTCACTTATCTTGTTGACTCCCAGTGTGAAAAGTGAGAAAATAATGTTAAGACTTTAACATTGATATGAAACTGCATACAACCCATGACATTGTGGTACCAGTAAATACATTTGTATTTTGAAACTCTGCCGACCTCAAAAATAAGCCTTTCCTGAAAAATAACTCTGTAGTTTCTTACTAAATAAACTTTCGGTTGCTCAATGTTTGAGAAGCTAAACTGCAACTTATTTTCAAGCTTTAAGAGAATTTTATAAAAATGTTTTAAGATATATCATCCACAAATATCAATGTACAAGAAACATATGTATCTTAAGGGTCTTACTTTACATTCATCCCTCGAATGCAAACGAAAAAAAATGACAAAGAACAGACAACTGTGTCATATGTATTTCGTAGTGACTAAGATTGTATTTATCTGATGTAAGTATAAATTGATTTGACTCTTAATACTGTAACTCGAGTGTATACCGAAATAAGTTTCCAAGAATATGAAACAAAAACAATAAACTAACCTGAGAATCACCAGAACCCTCATCATCAAAGAAGTAACGGACAATGGCACCATCAGCATGGCCAGACAGAAATCCTTTACCTGATGGACTGGAAATCATAAAGTTAACGGTTATTTGGAGGTGATAATTTTCAATGTTAAAACATTTCCCTGTATTAATAAATCAACAAGATAAATACTTTATGACCTATAATCATGAGAGTATGATATTTCAAGATTCATTGAAAAATAGTAAGTTCAAAAACAAATCGAAGTAATAAACCAATTTTTTTTTTTAATTTGGATATAAATCAATTCATTACTTTGAGTGCTAATAAAGAGTCAATATTATTATCATGTACATACTTTGCTGCCAAAGAAACAACATAGGAATCTGTTCCATAGATGGTTGAAGATTTGTTGGTCTTGATGTTTGCTGCTCTCACCTGATAGAAAAATATTATTTCAGCTAAATATGCAATACACATACAGAAAATTGTAAAAAAAAGTACATGACAGCCCAGTACAGTTTGAACTTGTTAATCACTACGAATATTAAAAGTTTTATCTACATTTGTAAATATGTATCAAATAATGTGTATAATATACTTACCTTTCCATCAGCTAGTCCAAACACTATTGGCTGTTCATTAGGCCAAATCATACAAGTCACAGCACTCTGTTGTACAAACTTGTTACAGATGGTTTTCTTATCCCCCCTAAATATGAAGATAAAAAAGTTCTGTAATCAGTTTCACTGACAACACTTTATCTTTGCTGGAAGGGCATTTGAAACTGAGGAGAATTAATAGTCCACAAATAATTTCTTATCTCTTTTAAACATAGTCAGAATTATTCTGACAATCTATCAACCTTCATAAATCAGATTGGAAAGAAATAATCATTTTCACATACATTTCACCAAGACACAGGTCTCATATTTCCCTCCTCTTTTAAAGAGACAGAGATTAGACACACATTGACTCCAAGCTGATAAATAAATGTTGATAGAATGTCAAAATAATTTGGACTGTCTGAAATATAGTTTCATGCCACTTCATAGTTGTCTCAAAATAGGTCATTCTCTGAGCAAATGCAACTACTTTTATGTTTATTTAAATCACTAACTTACCAGTCTTCTCCAATCTTGTATACATATATGATGTTATCTGTCTGCCCAATGGCTATTTTCGCAGAGTCTGGAGAAAATGCCAATCCCTTCACAGTGTAACTTTTCTTTCCATACTGAACGTGAAAGAAAACAAAATTATGAAATGAAAACAATAATATTTCCTTTACCAATTTTCAAATTGCAGTTCAATAAAATCTTAACACTTGCCTTTGCATCTGCTGGTCGCAAAGAGAATTTGTCTCTCTTCTCCCCCTGTTCATCAAACAACAGCACCACCCGGTCTGAAGTACAGACTGCCATCTTCTGGTTATTAGCTGACCATGTAATGGCACATATTTTTGCTGCTCCATCCTACAAATATGATAACGACAGAAAAATATCAAAGAAAGTGTTAAAGCATATGAACCTGACTGGGTAATAATTCTAGGATAACCCACATTCCCATATGTAAAAACTTTTCTGGTTCATTTATTAAAATATGTTAATATGTTATGATATCGTATCAATGTATATCTAGTTGAATTTTTTAGAGACGTTTCCTTCCTAAATATTTCAAAGTTTCAAACTTTTCAAAGTTGTTTTGAAATTTGGCAAGATACTATTTTGCATAAAAAGGTCTATCTCTAAAAATAAGAATAACCCTGATATTACTAACATTGAAAATAAAAGAAAGTATCTAAAAAATATCTTTCAAATATTATTTCTCCGCTCAAATTTATATTTGGTCAGATAAAGATGGTTCGATACATTCAAAAGCAAGTCGATCGGCAGATTGTATTAGTGAAAGCACACATATTCCTAAAACGGCTGTTAGTCTGCTATTCGAGCGTATGAACAGAAGATGTACAAATACTACAAATATAAAAAGAATTTGGTACACTGTAAGTTTTCTAAATAAAGTTGTTTAAGGTATGAATGTATCGTAGTTGTCCTGTCAAAACACAACTTGTATGAACTGCTCGCAAGCATAGGGGATATTCAGTAGTAACAAAAAAGGTCCAGTAAATGACAGTCACCTGTGGTTGCAGCAAAGCTTTCATGTGCTTAAGCTGCATCCTGTTCCATAAAAAATGTCAAGAAACTCCAGCAAAAATATGTTTTTGACACCCGTGATGTTCTGTTTCGCACCTGTCTCTTGAGATTGTTTGAGGAATGCTAGGTAGCGCCTCGCTTTGAATGTTTTCTTAGTTTCGTATGATTAAGAACAATATATTTCCGTTTATTTTAGTGAGTGTCTTTACACGTCATTATATTATAATACAATAGATCGCTGATAAATACATTAGGAGTTATCATTATTCCAATTGTCCAAAAAATACGAAACTTATAGCGCATGAAGACTGGTCGTCTTTGCTTGTACGGTCGTAACGAGTGGCTTCAGACTATCAGCACTGTCAGGTGGGACCGGTGCTGTCTGGGACCGTAACGATAGATAACTCTTGCGAACTTGGACACTGCTACTAATCATACATGTGTGTAACTGATACAACACGTATTAGTACAGTGTTATCATTTTTTTTTTTTTTGCATTTCAACGTTTTGATACAAAGAGTAGCGCTTTACTCTTTAACGATCTGGAATTAAAATAAGATAGAAATCGAGTGCTTTCCTTTATCGTATATCCTAATAAACACACCCTCTACGAAGACTGTCCCAATCAGCGCCAGCCAATATCAGGAAATATTACGTCTTACATTTGGTGAAAATTTCATATAAATCTCTTACCTGTGCTACCAAAAACAGATTTCACACTATTCTCTAGCTTATACAGTAATCTATACATTTTACTAGAGAACTAGTTCCAACCAGTAGCTAACTTATACCAAAACGCAATAAAAAAAATAGGCTGTATTTTCTCAATGATATTTAAATGTTCAAATTCCAATACTTCCACAAAGTACAGTAGTATTGGGATAACTGATGTATCAAAGAGCTTTAACTGTCAACTGGAATATATATACAGTGTATTTATAATTTTCCGATAAAGTGATTTTTGTGCCTGTTCTGTTACTTTTTTTTTATTTAGCAAAGTTACTATTATAGGCCATACTTATTCCAAGATAAAAATAAGGGTCGCTGATTTCAAACAAAGTGTAATTAAAAGTAAACATTGGCAGGTGTTTTTTTTTTTTTTTTTTACAAAAAATTACAACTTTTATTTTTGAAAGTTAACATCAAGTTTCCATGATTTACAATATTCTTCAAAAATATTCAAAGCAGGCTAGAGACCATTGTTGGACTCTGACATGATTGCTCTATTGTCTGCATAAAGTAAAATGAATAGTTTAAGGAAAATGTTAATGTTAGTCGCGCACAAATTTCACCGAGGCAGCCTACTTCATTTTCGTCAGAGCAATCCTCTAAATCATCAAAAAAGATTTCAAACTATGTCCCCTATAAGATAAGACATTTCATGGTCATTTACGAGATTTTGCCCTTGAATATATATTAATATAACATTAAATATTTGTCCTGAAATATTACTTTTAAGCAACTTTCTTCATAATCAACACATCCTCACTGTATCAAAAACTTTTCGGAAATTGACGGATGTAAAGTATGATGTTTTACCTACAAACCCAGTATCTAATACAACATTAAATGAGGGAACATACAGCTGACTAAAAATTAACAACGTACGTTTAAGGTATTCATTTAAAATTTATCATAGCCTTCAGGTTTATTATTAGGTTATTTATTAATTAACATTTTCACAATAAAAAAGTTCAGCGTTACTCTGAACCAGATCTATAACCCTGGGTTTTCTATCATCAATCAATTTCACATTTACACTGACAGGATTTTGTTTGTTAACTATTACACAATTTGGTATAATACCTTTCATGTGAAAAGTAACCTACAATGTACATCCATTACTTCAAACTCTGTAAATAAAGGGAAATTATCAGAAGACGATACTAGATAATAAATTACAGTCTTATTGTGACAAGTTGTTTACAAATTAATTTTTTACTTACAACACGTCCATTAACTTTAAATTATTTTCTTTTTTTTTCAAAACTCAATACACCATGTACGAACATTGTTTAAATCAGACTGTAATTTGCAAATATCAAGTGGGGGCGGTGGTAACTTTAGCCGTTTTTCACTGAGCAGGGGAATTTATCTGTCTTTAGACTAACAGTCATTATATAGGTAAGAGATGGGGCTATTTCCGTGTGAACAATTTTCAACAGCTTAGTACTAATACCATCAATACCTGTAGCTTTAAGGCCATCCAGGATTTTCAAAAAAATAGTAGTAAAATCAATTGATACACCTAGAACAATGAAAGAGGTACCATCCTTTGTTCTATCATAAACATAATCTTTCAGTTTCTGAAAAGAAGCTGTAACATTATCTAGCTGTGAGTTAGTTTACTGGCAATCCCAGATTGATCCTAACTGATTGACTGTTTCACTGTGTTCTAATCATGTTTATCATCAAGTAAACATATTTGGAGACGGTAAAGTATCTTTTGGACTAATTTCACGTATAAACTTTCGTCATTTTTTTAGGGTTACTATGCTCCCCGAAGGTCCTGCCGTTCGTTCGTCCGTCATAATTTTGACCGGAGCATAGATGGATCTTAACAAGGAGAATTGCAGTGTACAAGAACCATCACTCTCTTTTGCCTTTTGTTCTTTTTCATAATTAGATGTTGTCCGAAGCATTACACTAAACCATATGAGGTATCAATATAGAAACTTCATAGGTAGATAGATCTTAACAAGGAGAATTGCTGTGTACAAGAACCATCACTCTCTTTTGCATGATTAAGGAGTTATTTCCCTTTGTTATTTTTCATAATTAAATTTTGTCTGGAACAATTTTCTAAAACTATAAGAGATATTAACACAAAACTTCCTAGTTAGATTGATCTCAACGAATTGCCTTTTGTTATTTTTCATACTTAAATTATGTCCCAATTGGCGGCATTTGTATAAATTGGTTATTTTTTTACATATTGTTCAAGGTCACCTTGACGTTTAAGTTAATCTCTAATCCTGTAATGAACAGATACGAATAAAAACCATAAACACTGAACTAAACTTTGTAAGAATGTCAGGGGTCAAAGTGAACGGCGTGCTTTAGGATATATATCAAACTGAATCACATAATGTCTATTTAAAAACTAATTAAAGTTTGTCAAAGTCTAAATACAATTGTTTCTGTATTTTATCACAAAGAAAAATCATAAAAATCCATGTAACTTGTCAGGGGTAATCACTATAAGTTATATATACAAGGGCCATTTGTAGTGTCATGTATTATCTTCTGTTTGTTTCATATACCATACAAAACGCCCACTTAATCAAATCCATCACTTTGTTTATTTTTGCCACTCCAGTTAAGTCGCTATTCCTATCTTTCATATAGTTACTTAGACCAATACTCTGAGTTGCTAGATAACCCACGACCATCAAATGATATTTTTCATACAAGAGATCCCAGAGGGATCTTAGCGCCCACCATTGTTTGATCTTTATATGTTCTTTGAAAGTTGGATCTTTTCTCTTCTTTTCTCTGTTTTTGCTCTTAATGATAAGACATTTCAACATTCCTTTGAAGAAATAAATGATAATCTTTACCTGCCAAATACAAAATGGCCACATGGAAGCCATTTTGTTTCTTATTCTTAGTCCCAAAATCAAACGAACACAAGGAGATATCAAAGGAAACATATGTATGAAATTTGAGAGATATCCAATCAGTACATCTTAAGAAATAGCATTAACAATCTTTACTAGGCAAAATCCATGATGGTTACCTGTCGACCATTTTGTTTTTTCTGATCAGTACCAAAATCAAACATGCACAATAGGGATCAAGGAAAGCATATACATGTACATGAAATTTGAGAAAGAGCTGTGCTGTAGTTCTCAAAAATAGCGATAACAATTTTTCAATGACAAAATCTAAGATGGATGTCTGTCGTCCATTTTGTTTTTTCTGATCAATCCCAAAATCGGACAACGGTGGGCTATTAAAGTTGTACTTCAGTATGTTTATCTTCTGTCTCTCATCCTTTTATTTGATTCTTTTCCTCTGTCTCATGTTTATTTAAATCCTGCCTGTACAGTATATGAGTGCGAGTGGTTTATGCTTCATGTGTGTGAAAATATAATACGCAAGTACATATCTGTCTTACACGAATGATTTGAAGAGATTAATGTTGTCCGTCCTTGTAAAGGATCATGTATTATATTTATGATAATGATGTACTGAGTAGACTGATATCCTCATAGAGATACATGAATTTTAAGTTTATAATGACGATGTCGACACTAGTGTTACTATGAAAACGATAAGATGATAATGATGACGAAATGTTATTGAAGATAATTGTGTTGGTGGCGTGATGATGATGATGATGATGATGATGATAAATGCTTTTATATACACTTGTAAAGGATGATGATGGTGATGGATGCTATTATGTATACTTGTAAAGGATGATGATGGTGATGATGATTGGCTCGGGAATATCATTTCTTTAAGATAAATGAAAATGTACTTATGAATGAATGTGTTGAAATCACAAATAAATACCTATGCAAGTGTATGTTTATGTATTGTAATGTCTTAATATGTTGTAATGAAAAGATTGAAAAATAATATATGATAAGGAAACTTGCAGCAGCATCTACTTATTCAAAAGTGACATCCTATGACTATGTACACTATTGTTTTAACAGATTTTTGGAGGAAATACTGACCCCTGTCGAACCCCAACAAAATGGACTGATATTGAAATACTAATATCATTTGGTAATGTATGCTGTGGTTTTAACACCTTTTTCTGATGAAAAACTGAACCCTGTCATACTCCCATAGTTAGGACACTAAATGGGTCGTAACACAGTCCCTATGGACCTTTTGATTTTTTCAATCCTCTTTCATGGCAGAGACGTATATATATGTCTCTGTTTCATGGGTAGTCACTGATGGTGCTACAAATACCAATCACTTTTATTCAATTTTGTGCGTGGGCAAAATTCCATTGCACCTGAAAGAGATACTTTCAAGTCGCATTGTAAGCGTTCCTTTATTCTTTTCACAACAAGCGTGTGAGGGAAGGTTGAGTAATGTAAAAACAAATTTTGCTGAATGGTTTCTGCTTTGGAAGATAAATGAATGACATTTTCCAACATTTAAGGGTGTGTCAAAGCCTGCAAGATCCTGACACAAAGCACTTGTCAGTGAAGTATGCTGAAAATAAGTGGATAACAATTTTCAACTGGATACACTTTCTAGACTGTATTGGGTCAGGATGAAGGAGGTATGTCGCAGCCACGGTTACAACGTTTTTGGTACCTATAACTACGACTTATGTCCCCAGGACAATTATATACATATAAATGGCATGTATTCGTGTACCAGAATTTGTTTTTATATATAAATACATCTAAAAGAAATTAAAAACACAATTTTTTAAAAAAGTTGACATAGTTTATTCATAAATCTTCAGATCATTGAAAAATGTTCAAATGACACCTTTTATTTTTATAATCTATTTCATTCCATCCTTGATACTTCAGGTATTCTCTGCACCTCCAGAATATTTCACTTCGCATGAGCCTTCAATTTTGCCATGAACAGTTCCAGGTGTTCAGAGACCCACAAGAATGTAAGACCTGAAGTATGCTGATGGTTTCATGTTTGTACTGAACACTAATATTATGACTATGAAGAAGTATACAAATAGACTGGTTTTTTTCAAAGATGGAAATTTTAGTTTTTTGTATTTATAGAGGTAGGTGTGATATTTTTGAAAAATGTTTCTAAAAGTTCATTTTAACAGACCTTGTCTTGCTCCAATTCAAATGCCTGTAAACCACATCAGTGCTAAGGTCAACAGTAAAATAATAACAGTCAACAGTATGGGATGACATAATTATTGACAGAGCCCTGACCCATGCCTGGCGGTATGTAATCAATTTTAAACTGATTTGCATAATTTCATATTGATGCTGAGCTGTACATGTGAAACAAATATTTGAAATTAATCAGTGTTACAAAATATGAATGTTACAAAATATGAATGTATCAAAAAAAGTTGTGCATAACAGAAAATTGTCTAAAAAATAAACACAATTTCAAATGAACTGATAAATGATTTCTTTCAGAAATGGAAACTATTCTAAATAAATAGATACTCATTCAAAATATATGTGTTCATTTTTATAAAGAGTATTAGATTTCAATTCAAACCACTTTCAATAAAAAATGATCACATCATTTCAAGTGCAATGATAAATAACATGGCCAGATATCTTAACTGCAAATTTCTGCAAAGGTCATATTGGCCAAAATAAGTAATCACAACATACATAAAATTTCAAAACTTCAAACATATATTAAATACATTGAAATAAAGAAAATGGTATAACAGTTAAATAAAAAAATATAATAGAGAAGACAATTCTTTTATAAATCTCATACGAAATACATCCATTCAGTCACAAATTCAGTCACAATCATTCCCATGACAACAGAAGTTAATATCAGAAACAGAATTTCCCCAACAATTTTAAATCACAAAATCAGATATCCAATACCACAGAATTATGAAATCCACCATTTTTATTATCATAATGAAAATTGAACATTAAAAAGAAATTAGAAATGTGCTTAAGGCCTAAATCTTAAATAAAGAAAACAGTCTATCGGAAATATAAAATAAATATTGATATAACAATAGTTTATTACATGTATTTGTCAGTGAAGGATATTGCAGCATCCCACATTCTCATATGTCCCCAACATCATTGGGTTTTCCAGTTTTAATAATTAATTTTTTAAGTTTGCATTTAGAAGGTAAGTGACATGATTATCACCCACAATTTACAAATCAACGCAAATTGATAGTAAAAACACAAACAATACCACAGATTTATATATATCGAAGTATGTGCCAATATTTAGCTCTGTGAATGTCAGTATCATATGGTATTTATGTATAATATGTATGGAATAATTAGTTACAATGCATGGGTTCATCGCCATATGAACATCCACTTTTGTTAGGAAGGAGCCCTTTGTGGAAGCTGAGAACTACCTCATTGAACAACATGTGAGAGGCATTCACCAAACCATTTAAAACATCAGAGTTAAAGTGTTGCCTGAAGATACAACCATTGTGACAGCATAGGACAATCAGTATTTCAGCTTTGGAGAAACACCTTGAGTGAGGATCATCAAACCATATACCTTGGATCTTCACCTGAGGATTTCATATCTTCCAACTATTATCGCCCTATTGATTGTAGTTGTTAAAATCATAACAGTAATTATTCAATAACAATACAATGTAATGCTAGCACAACACAATAACAGCATGGTTATGTGGAACGACATTGTGATGAACTTGTATGAACTGTGATGATCTTGGTTCAGTAATGTTCTGTATGGTAAGATTTTGGTATGAAAGGGCAATGTAGAAAATAATGTCATACTAAATAGTGATACTATCAATGACAAAGAAAACATAATTATCAACTTTAGTTGAAGTAAATATAGTAAATCAAAGTCAAAGGGTTAAAGAATATCCCATGCACCAAAACTAAAGGAAATAATTGCTTTACAATGTGATTAATGAAGCTATCAAGAAATGCATCAGGTTGTCCTATTCGAAATTAGAAAATGGAAAAAAATATACATTACTGATAAAGAATATGTTTGCTGATAGTGATATGGTTTGAGTTCAAGTGTCTCTGGATTCATCAATGCCTATTGTATGTACAGCAAGTAGGATATCCATGTTTGGTAGTAATCCTGGATAATATGCATACAGAAAGATATGTATTTGCGTGATACACATGTATGAAAGTATTTGCATGAAGTAAACAACTACCCACCAAACAAAGTAACCATTGCATAACTTTTGTACATTGCAGAATTTAAGTCCATTCCAATGAATAGCATTTTTACAAAGGAATTTTAGTCAAAGCACGCATGTGATCAGTTAGTGAGTTAGGAGAGAAGATCATATGTGCTGCACTCTCTTGTCCTTAGGGAAGCTGACTGGAGCAACTCCAGCTTTCTCAAGTAGGTCATTAATCGGCATGTGATCCAGAGAATTTTCATCAATGTGTGCAAAGTGTACAACATCACCTGCATAGAAAAGTTCAAATATAACTTTCATTTCCCTTCAAATTTTGGAATAGATATTGTGGATACTCCTAGCTGATAATAATCATTTCCATATCCCTAAAGAATTTTGCATATAAATACACTCCAATTATGAAGAAAAATGTTGCTAGGGAGATATTCATATCTCCATAGCTTTTAACAACCTTGAAAATGGCATAAAACCCTAGCTTTTGAAAACCTTCAAAAACTGCATCAATCATCTGATGCTAGTCAACGAGGCATAATTTATGACATTCTAGTGTGATACAGGACTCAAAATCACCAGATCCCTGTAGTAAAACCACAACTTTATGTGTCATTAAACCTTTTTTACCTGGCCCCAATATAAATGCTCCTCCTTGCTGTTTTATATTCCCTTCATATTCCTGAACTTTCATGGCCTTCCAGGTACTCCTCAAGATCCCCATAAATGGACTCTGTTTGACATGCTTATTATCTGTTGAAAAACAAGACGCCAACAAAATTGTCAAATCACGTCTGACTTGGGCATAATTCTCAGTCTCAGATTCTCAAATTTTCCTTTATTTTCAGACAGTACTCTAGCCTTCTTCCACAATATATACTATGTTTGCAATAACAAATTCAATGCCATTCCTGAATCAGTATGATATAGTCAAGTTATTATTAGCACATGTAAATGGAAATTTAAATCTTGATCCTTACTTTTCTCATTACCATGCACCATCTTTTCTTTCAAATTAAGTGTCTTGTAGACCTCCCTCTCTGGATCAGTATACAGACTGTAGTTGAAACCAGTCTCTTTTTTGAATGGCTGAAAAGATTCATCAATGCTGTTATTTTTTTTCCTATCACTTTCTTACCTGATGAATAACAATTTTCTATTATTATGACATAAACCAATTCAAAACTAAGAAATATGAAAAATATGATTACTAGTAAGCAAAGGAAAATTAAATATCTTCAAAACTGAAAATTGTTAATAGGGTGTATCACCTGTCCTTATCCCTAAAAAGAACACATAACCTATATGATAAAAAAAAATACTTATAAATTCTGTAACTTTCATCATCTGATTTATAGACATGCCAGCACCAGTATTTATTGCATAACAATTTGTTTGTTTATATACTTGATGATTGTATCTTCCTCTATTTCCTGTTAACAGCCAGGGTCATTTTGAGGTGGAGTTTCTTTGTAGTAGCTGATGGCTACCTCAATTAACAAAATACAGTATGCTCATCATAGTAATTAGAGTAAAGAGTCTTTCACAAGGGCAAAACCACAGCAACCACACACAGTCTTTCGTCAGTTTCTCAGCTTCCTGAGAAACATAAACTGCCACAGGTACTGACCACAAACCTTTCTATTGTGCTCAGGGATTCAAATCCCAGATGTCTAAGTGAAAGGCAAATTTGTTACCAATCAAGACAAGGTGCAATTCAAACACCATAAAACAAACACATGTACTACTCTCATATACAATGATCTAAGGATAATATCAAATAATTGAATTTTATTTACTGACATAAAATTATTTGCTTAAACCAGTATTCTTTTACAATACTGTCCACATATGATTTTAATTTTTAACAAATGAATGAGACTTTTGTATCTATTGGGATCACATGTAAAACCATAATATATACATCTTTACCTTTATGAACTTGCAGGGAGCTGGTCCAATCGCAACAATCCTAACATTAGCAGCCTGAAACATGAAGTCTGATGCATTTATATCAATGAATACTATTACAACAAAATATTGCTAAATGTTTATCCATTTCCATCAATGACCATGTTAAATATTTCATATCAAGATATTACCTGATACATTGAAATATTGCTAATATTCCATGTTAAAGGAAACCTCATTTTTTTGTACCAATACAAATGTACGGAATTCTTCAACCAGGCATCTTCATGCATTTATGAGAAAAGCAAATTGCTATTATATGATAATTTTACAGACTATTTCTTGATTATTTCAAATATATGTGCTCATTAAACAATTTGGTTCATACATTATGTAATTTGGACTACAAAATGCTTTTGGCATTTTCAATATTCCCTAATTATGATCTGCATACTTATACAACTGTCAACTGTGACAATACATCAGAACAGAATTATTCACCTGCAGGTATTCAAGGGGGACAATTCCTAAATCTGGAAAAAATGGAAGCAAAATCAATACTTCTGTCTTTGAATTAGAAAACTTCAAATCTGATATGATAAAATACAAAAACAAGGTAATAATCAGGATGTGAAGTTGTTTACAAGCTAATTACAGAATGCCAAATGCACAGTTTACATAAACAAAGGGTAATTCTTTTACCTTGTGACAATAATGTTAAAACAAAATTTAATTATTTTCATCAATCATCAAACCAAAATAACTGATCAAATCTCACAGAAAACCACGGATAGAAGGTAATCCTACATCCCTGAGAAGACGTCGGTTGATAACAATAGAACATAATTCCAAATTCTAATCTGATACAGAAAATTATCATTTTCCTAGCTAGTGAATCAGGACATTAGTCATTACTATACATTGTACTTTGCATTGCAACAGACTTACCTTCCATGTAATCCTTACACACGAAACAAAGAAAGTGCTGCAACAGAGAGAAGACAGAAATACAGATCATAAAATTTATTTTCGTTGCTTGCAAAACCATATACATAATCGTTATAGTGAAGAATGTGAACTGACAAGATAAAACATCCGATTCCTGTCTTGTTCAGTTGTTTAATTATCACAAACTCAGTTATATTTTAAAAACAACGAAATTATCACTATTCAGGCATACGTTAGTTAACGCCAGTTAAAGTTCTTGTAATACAAGATATTATATATATACATAAAAATCGCTCAGTGTACATAACAAGTGTCTTCATATCTATAACTACACAGGTAGTGGTCAGCTGGTCACTTTGGGAAGTTTGAGCAAGTTCGTACCCGTGTGAACACAACGATTGTTTTCTGGTGTTTGTAGATGTCCGAAAAACGAATTTTGTTTTCCATTTCATCATAAACAAATAAGTCGTGTAATTTTTCAAAGTCCACAACAATTTCTGCCTTTTCTCCTCTTGACATTTTGAGATCGTCCACACGTTTCACTTGGTCGTCGGTTTTCTCCTTTTCATCTGCCATCTTGTTTCGATTGACATGTGCGTGTCTATCTCTGCAAAACGCTTGTAAGGCACGGCAATGTGAAGTGAAAGCGTGTTCATGACATCAGGTGTATAAATAAATCCATGGCAACAAACAAACAACAATAAACAGTTAACTTGATTTCGCTAAACAGAAGACGTGCTTTGATTTGTCGAAACAAATATTAAATGACTGAACCAATTCTTCATTTTCTATTTCTTAGAATTCAGTCATAATCTTTTAAGGATTGCTTCCCTTCAATCATAAACCATTATTGGGATAAATCGACGAGGATTCGACACTCAGCAGTCGACAGATTCCTCTTATTATTGTCTATACATTTTTCAATGCCAAATTTAGTACCATGGAACAAGTTCTATTGCTCATATCATTTACTGCTATCAGTACGTTCCATATCTAAAAGAACTGAGTAACTCCACACCAGACATTTAACCTTTCAATTAGTATATGTATACAGACTACCTCCAGAAAGACAGATGTCTGTCAATATGACTATCATCAAACCGGACACCTGTCTGTTATGGTCTATTGTCTGTTTCCACATGAGAAGACTGTCTGTCAATATGTCTTCGGTCTACCAGACACATATCTGTCTATTAATTATCCCCACACAAACACTTGTCTGTACATGCCTCCATCCTAGACACTGATCACTCATTACACTTGTCTATTGTCTACCTCAACATGAGACATCTGTCTGTCAATATGTCTACATCCAAACTAGATACCTCTCAAGATATTTCTATTGTCACCTTCCACACCAGATACCTGTCTGTATGTATGTCTATTGTCCCCCTCCACACCAGACACACAAACCTCAGTGTCTACTTCCACACAAGACATCTGTTGATCTATGGTTACTGCCTCCTTCCACAGAAGATATCTCTGTATTTATGTTTACAGCCTCACCCACAAAGTACACTTGAAACTTGAATCAGTAATAAATTGTCAGCCTCCAATCCAGAGACTTGACTGTCGAAATACTGTCTACCTCCAATTGTCCATGTCTACTGAATCCACACAATACACCAGACTGACAGTATGTCTATTGTCTGCCTCCACCAGACACTTGACTGTCAATATATCTACTGTCTCCTCCACACCAGACACCTGTCTGTCAATATCTACCCCCACACCAGCCAATGTCCATTATCTACCTTCATACAAACATATATCTCTTAATACATCAACATCCACACTAGATGCCTCTCAAGATATGTCTATTTTCTACCTTCAAACCAGACACCTGTCTGTCAACATGTCTACTGACTACCTCGACATCAGTCTTCTGTTTGTCAATATGTCTATTGTGGTCCTCAACATCTGACACCTGTCTGTGAATATGTCTACTGCCTTCCTCCACATGAGGCTCCTGTCTGTCAGTGTCTACCTCAAGGGTTGATACTTGTCTGTGAAATAGTCTTCTTTCTCCCCTACACTAGACATATGTCTTTCAATGTCTACTTCTACACTAGCAACTGTCTGCAATGTCTACTGTCTCCTCCACACCAAGCACCTGTCAGTTAAAGTCTACCTCCACATCAGACACCTGTCTGTCAATATGTCTATTGTGGTCCTCAACATCTGACGCTTGTCTGACAATGTCTATTATCTACTTCCACACAAACACTTGTTTATATATGTTTTCATCCATACTAGACACCTCTCAAGATAGTTTATTTTCTATCTTCAAACCAGACACCTGTCTGTCAATATGTCTATTCCATTCCGCAACAACAGGCACCTGTCTGTCCATTTCTTTTGTCCAACTCCACATTAGATACCTGTCAGTCAATATATATTTCTGCCCTCTACTTCAATATCAGCCATCTGTTTATATGTCTCTACTGTCTCCCCCATATAAGGCATCTGTCAATATATCTACTACTTCCTTACCAGTCTACTGTCAGTCAGTGTCTATAATCTGCCTTAACACCACCAGACACTTGTCTTTCAACATGTTTACCATCTCTGTCCCAAACAGATATTTGTTTGTTAAATCAAGTCTTAACATTTACTATTTTCAGATCAGGATGAATGTTGTCCTGAATTCAATATATATTTATTCTCTTCATCTTTTCAAATCATGACAAAATCAGTTTTACCTTGCAATTACTAGAAAACATCTAAGTCACTTGAAAATAAACATCTTATTCAAATGCAGTAATTTTTACAGTGATATTGTTGTGAATAGACTTTCTTTTATAGCGTATATGTTTTTTTTAAATGGCCAAAGATACAAAGATTCTGCAACAGTCAAGTCCATTCCTCCACAAAGTAGGAAATACAGAGATTTAGACTTTGCCATCACTTATTAAAAGTTTAAGACAAGTTTATTTCACAAATAAATTACCTGTGAAGTTTGAGACGAATCAATAATTGTAACAAACATAACAAAATTGAAAATATTCTTTTATAAGTTTCACAAATGACACATTATGTATAGTGGTAATAAGTGAATGTTGGTGAATAATATATAGATATATAATGTACAATAACAATAGTAAGAAAATATAATACACTGTATCTTGGTTACAAAATCAGCCATATAGAGAATCCAGTGTTCATAATAAGATATACCTCCCTCAAACTTGTATACAAGCTTTTAATTTCTAAAGTGGTCATAGGTCATGGTAAAAGATAACCACTGATATTTAACCTTGAACTATTACATTCAAAATCTATCATGAATGCATGCACTCTCACACAGGCAATGTATGTACTATCCCTCTCTCACCCCATCCCCCCACCCCCACTTAAGTAAGTGAGGGTATAATTACCAGTATAACAGTTATCTCAAATGTAAAACAGATATCAATATTCTTCAAAGTTATAACAATTAAATATTGAAAGATTTTTTTCTATAATAATGGCATGGCAAAGTACACTATTTCCAGATTAACATGTAAACATTTATATTATAACTATTAAAACAATGTATATTCCTTGTCCTAAACAATATTTTGTTTTCACATTTATTATTACAGATTTTGTCACAAACAGAGAGATCCTTTTATCATAGAACATTTTGAAACACTCTGGTGTTGTTATAAGGTTCACATCTTAATTCGCAGCTCTATGCTGATATCACTACAGTGGTCATGGCTGATGTGGACACTGATGGGATATACAGTACTATCTATACCTGTCAATAAGTCAGTGCTTGGTGAAATGCTTACCCATATATACTCACTGTTCAGTGAAACTATAATTACACCAACACAACTTAATTGTCCTGTACAAAGTTATTCCCTTCTTGGATTAAGTAATCAACGTGTTGGCCCCTGGCTTATCAAAGAATATACACAGAATGCTTGACAGTTCTTAGTATCACAATTATCACAGTTTAAAGGCTTCATAGAAGTTACTCTCGCTTGTCCTTCGGGAAGCTGACTGGAGCAACTCCTGCAATCTCAAGGAGGTCATTGATTGGTGTGTGATCAAGAGAATTAGCATCAATGTGGGCAAAGTGCACAACATCTCCTAGAGAGAAAATAGTATTACAAAAAATTAATTTCCACTCAAATCATAAAGAATCGACCAGTTAAAAAATAAATATAATTTCATCTGTTTGACTGGGGAATAAGGATGAAATTAATTTCTCCGTGGCATGTTTTTCCAATAGTTTGCGTGCGGGTCGTGCTAATATACGTGTCCTGGTACCCGGGTCCGTCATTCAGGTGACTCGGGTAGCGCGGTACACATGCGATGTTTTGTTTTTCGTAGGTGTAAAGATTTTTTCCCGTAAGCTTATTAAGTTTTGTTGGAAGAATTTTAATAATTTTAATGAATCAAAATGAATTCTGATACTTTTGTTTGCTATTCAATGCAAACCAGTATTTAATAATTGAAGTTGTTTTCAAGTGTAAGCAACTTGCGCATGCTTATGAAGAACAATACATGTTTCTGTTAAATATTAAATGATGTGGCAATAAATCATGCAGTACCCTCTGTCGCTGTGAAAATACAGTTAATGGTTGTTGTTATTATTATCCTATTGGATAATTAAAAGGAGAATCAACTTTTCAGTATTGCCTCACTACTGTTAATAAACACTTGACAACTTTCCTTGCCCTCACTATGGCCATGGTATAAAGACTTACCTTGCCCTCACTATGGCCCTGGTATTAAGACTTACCTTGCCCTCACTATGGCCCTGGTATGAAGACTTACTTTGCCCTCACTATGGCCCCAGCATGAAGAATTACTTTGCCCTTACTAAGGGCCCAGTATGAAGACTTACATTGCCCTTACTATGGTCTTGGTATGAAGACCTACCTTGCCCTTACTAAGGGCCCAGTATGAAGACTTACCTTGCCCTTACTATGGTCTTGGTATGAAGACCTACCTTGCCCTTACTAAGGGCCCAGTATGAAGACTTACCTGGCCCCAGTATAAAGGCACCTCCTTGTTGTTTTATATTACCCTCAAACTCCCCGACCTTCAAAGCATTCCAAGTACTCTTCAGTGTCCCCATAAACAAGCTCTGCTTGACATGTTTATTATCTGTTCAAAACAAATAACCCATCAAGGTATGATATCTACAAGCAAATATACTGGTGTTATTGGATATGTTCAAGTCTTTTAATTAACAACTTAACAATGGTTATGTGCCTCAATGCATTAATCTATTGTAATGTCATTTATTGGATGCCACTAACCTTCAAACTTCACCTTAGTCTGCATTTACAAATGCTCTACTGTCCAAACTAATGAAGCCTCCATCCCCACTTGGTCTTAATGACAACAACAGAATTTGAAGGGAAGTCAGAATTTAGTTCAATTAGCATTACTGTATACCTGATATAAACCTTTCAAATGGTATGTTTCTGTGATCAAATTAGGTCATATTGACGAAATTTTAATACTCATGTTCCAGGGGTGCAGAGAGCGAAAGTGATTGTAACCCCTGGAGTATCAAGAATAGTATTGGGGATACTAGTGTGAAACACCATGATTTTAAGGTCTCACAACACACTTGCATAATAAATTACCTTCTAGTTGTCCTGCAATAAGCCCACCCCTACCTTAAATCAAATTTGCATGTATTGGCACTTGACTTATTATAGAATAAATATGGGAATGTAAATAATGATGCGAGGGTCCAATAAAGTACTAAAGCCTAGGTAGTAATATTTCCGGTCTGTTTTTTTTTAAAATAACTTACCCTTCCCATCTCCATGCACCATTTTTTCCTTCAGGTTGAGGGCTTGGTAGACTTTCCTATCTGGGTCAGTATACAAAGGATAACTAAAATCAGTCTCTTCTTTAAATGACTGAAAATGATAAAATTTTACAGTGCCAATATAAACATAAGTCAGACTTTAACATTTCATATTGTAAAGTACTCTGGTAAATGAGGTGGTGTTCTGTAATATCCTTCAAAGACAATTAAGCATACATTTCCTTCTGTAGCATTATCTGTAGCCAAAGTACATACTGATGAAAAAAACAAAACATTAGTAAAAGACATTTCCAGATGAAAGAAAAATGGCCTTAAATTGACATTTGATCAATTACATCACTGTAACAGTCATTTAATTTGATAGTGTTTGTAAAATGCTACTTTGACTTGAGCCACTGCCTTCTCTTTGATAGAATAATTAGCACAATGTAAAGTTTGACTATTGTGAGGAAGAAAGTAAGGTCACCACAACGTAAATTTAACATATCAGTGTGATTCAAAGTGTATCCACATACACAAAGTAGCAAAAATATCATTACTTCTTTCTTAATTGTTTCCATTTGACCATGAAAATAAATTAATGGTATATTGATAATGACAAAATCCTCAAATGTCAATCGTACTACAAATTATTTTATCAGATGAAGATGCAGTATGATGCGTGTGCAATAAAGCCAGCAAATGGTCAATAAAATAAAAAAGGCAACATTTATTATCTCCAAATTGCTATAGTCATGGCTCACCAACCTGAAAAAAGGACAACAGATATTTACCTTTATGAACTTGAATGGTGCTGGTCCAATTGCAACAATTCCTACATCAGCAGCCTACAATATATAATAAAACTTTCTCAGCTGTTCAATCAATAGTCCTATTATTATTTTGCAGATTATTTTACACATAAGGTGTTACTGTCATTGCTTTTTGACCTTAAGTTCAGAATACCCTGTATGTCATCTGCAAATAGACATACAGGAATGCTGCTGACTGATACAGGAACAACAGAGCAGAAAAGATTAACTTTATCTATTTTACAAAAATTATGTTAATCAAAACAAATTTGAAGTAAATCAGTTTGTATCAATCACTCTTTTCAGCCCTGACGAAAATGTGCTTGAAGTCTTGGTGTGAGAAACTGGGGTACCAAGAGTAAACCCAGATGGTGGAGTATGTGTCCCAATACACTTTTACCTCTGATCAGGAAATGAAATGCCATTCTGTCCCTTTTGACAAATTCTGCCATATGACAGCACAGGGTGTGTTACATGGGTATAAGAATGAGAAACTGATTCTGAACTTTAGAATATTGATATTTTTAGTGTGCTATGATTAGGATATTATGTGTACAGAGTAATTTACACCATTTCTAATGTCAATGTTTACACAATACATAATTATTTATATCAAGGAATAATTCAGTACTTACCTGAAGGTGTCCAGGTGGGATAATTCCTAAATCTAAAAACAAAGGAATGGGGTGTAAAAAATACTATTACACATACAATTCAAAATTGGTGGAATTAATGTCAAGGCTGTTTTTTCACCAGATAGTTAAAATTTTCATGACTTGACCAAAAGCTTGATGTAAAAGAAATCTGTTTTTTCAAGCAAGTCATGAAATGAACTATGATTTTCTTTATTAATTCAATTTTCAATGTTTTTTCATGGTTGTATTATATCTTCTTAAATAGTGAATAACATAATTGCTCAAAATTACAACTTTAGAGTACATGTGTACTAAAATATGTACAAAAGAAACATTGACATAAAGACCCAATTTGTTAAAGATTTTGACATACTTCAAACCTGTTGAGTACCCAAGTACAGTATTGAAAGCGAAATTAAGAATGATTAAAGAAATGTATGAATTACCTTCGATATAATCCTTGCACACAAAACAATGGAAGTGCTGCGAAAGAAAAGAAAAACAATGATAAATCAATATAAAACTATCACTTAAGGGGCCAAGACTCCAGTGTTTGACACCAACAGAAGATCTGTGATCCGAGGCCATCAAGATCTCTGTTAATGTTATCGTGGCCCTCCACACTCTTAAAAATCTTACGATCATTGTTTCTCTATTAATTTGTACAAAAAAGGAGAAAAAAAAAACTTTAGAACAATATGTATATGACAGCAAATAAATCAATCTATGAGATCAATGAGATCTATTTAAACTTTTACCTGTGGGGTCCTACTCAATTTAATAAAAATCAGGAGACATTGCAACTTAACATAAATCAGAGACATTGTCAATTAACAAAAATTGGGATACATTTTCAATACATCCACATTAGGTGACAGTGTCAATCAATACATACCAGGAGACGTTGTCAATCAACACAGGTCAGGGGCCAATACATTTACATTAAGGGACATTATCAATCAATACATACCAGGAGACGTTGTCAATCAACACAGGTCAGGGGCCAATACATTTACATTAAGGGACATTATCAATCAATACATATACATATTGGAGACATTGTCGGTCAACTACATATCAGGAGTCCGTCAATACATATCAGATGACATTGTCAGTCGAAACACATCAAGAGATAAAGCCAATCTTTATCTTATCAGGTGACAGTGTCAACCCATTATATATCACGGTGCATTGTCCATCAATACACATCTGGGGACATAAGCAGCCTATCTCTGTATGTATTATGAGAGTAAAGAGCGACACTCGATGATCAATAAATGCAAAACTCGACAATTAAACAATACTGACAGTACCCGTGTGAAAACTATAATTGTTTTCTGATGTTTGTATATTTCTGAAAAGCGAATATTTCTTCCAAATTCATCATAAACAAACAGATCGTTCAGTTTTTCCAGGTCCACCTCAGTTTTCGATTCATTCTCAAGTTTTTCGTCTGCCATCTTGTTTGTTATGACATGTGCCCAAAATAATAAGTTATTTCCCTTCGTCTACGCGAGTCATAAATAAGGGAGCTAATCCATGTGTGCTTGTCTGGTTGAGGACAAATAAAATCCATTTGTACAATTTATAGGTAAGAATTGGTCAATTTTACTGACTAACAACCAAGAGAAACTCACGTCGATGAAACTAGCATTCTAAAAAGAATTCGATCATCAACACCATGTAATCGATGTTCGGCTACGTTTCCATAACAAATAAAGAAATATCGAAACAGAATATATTGAAAATGAAAATCGTGAGGTCGGTGTGTATAACGAAATTTAGAAGGAATGAACTCCATATGCGTCAGCAATGTGTACCCTTCAGTTAATGCAAAAGCATTGTTATCATACGAGAAACCATTTTATCTTTTAAAAAAATGAATAGAAATATTGAAATCCAAATCTTAAACCTATGTAGAATTCTACATGTATTCAAAACCAGTGATGCACACGGGGCTATATACGATATTATGTATAACCTTCCGGACTCCTGTTAAAAAATCGCATATTCAGAGCAGAAACATTTTCTTGTTTGAACTATTCATGCTCCATAATCCAGTCTCCGACTGCATGTCCCTAAATCTGCCGTATTAAGGACACATGCAATTCACTCTGTGGAGTTAAATAAGTAAATGTCAACAGACTATGGATGTGCACCAGACGTTGCGACCTACATGCATGGCTACGTCAAGATTCGTCCCACTTTTACAGTCTGCTTTGCGATTAGTCAGAACACCTTAGGATTTTTTACAGGTAAAATATGTAGACCTGTGCACATGTAAGATGCAGGTGTTCATGTTACATAAACTAAGTTTCCGGCATGAAAGGGTGTGAATCATCCATGGTTTCACACTACTTCGTCATACCTGTCGTAGTTTATCAGACTTTATTTTCTCACAGATGTTTGTAAGTCCAAGATTTGACTAAATTTCACTACTAAATAAACGCGTTATAGTGAAGTTTAATTGTGATTAAAGGTAATAAATATATTTTACATGGCAAACTAGTACATAGGTAACCAAATTAATATCATGGTGGCGCTGACAGACGGAGAATAAAAACAGCTCCTACTTCTACTACTGCAACAATATGAAAATAAATGAACACATTTTCTCCAATATTCTTTGTGATTGATGATTTTTTTTATCAACTACGACATATCGTTTTCCTTCTTTCCTTGTACAATTCCAGGTTATAAAATATCAGCATTTTCACTCATCACTGCACATCGGGCTTACATAATATGTTAAAAGTGTTTTAAAATGTTAAAAAGTGTTAGATAACCAATAATACTATTCCAATTCATAATCTTCTGTTTGAGTGTTTGTTTTGAAAATAGGCGGGTCTTGTGGTGATCTTTAAGGTATTTTCTTATTTCACATGGAAGATTTTATTTTCTTTTTTTGTCCAAACTTGAGAGTTCTGAACTTTAGGAAGTGCTTGAACACATCCCAGTACTAGGATATCAGGATATTTACACAGCAATCGGTAATGAAATTGATCACGTCACTGTTTCTAAACAGCGGTCTAGGTGCACAGATTGGAACAGAAAGAAAGCCAATAAATCAAATCTACTGGAAATCAACATTACGTTGATTTCTTCAGAAACTTTTACCAAATTGTGACGATGAGTTTTTCCTTTCTTTTTTTTTTTTGAAAATAAGCAATTATTCATTACATCATAGAAACCTATTTTTAAAATGAAGTTTTCAATGCGCCAAGCTGCTTTAGTATTCAACGACCCACATCAGTTTGTCGAGCTTTAAGCTTAACAAGCGGTTTTGATCAAGTATATGTTCGATCTTTCGTTAAAATTGTTCACTGAAAATTAAAACCTAATATATCGTTTTATTTGTAATAATTCATAAACATACTTTTAATGTCAAAATCTTCTTTATTTGTGAACCGCTCTGAAAAAGAATAAAATTTGAAATGTTTTTAAATTGATTTAACCTGACTAGACTTGGCTGCAAACCCACAGACATTTTAACATACCTGTGTGGTGTAATAGAGACAGTACACCTAGTGAACGCGTAGATACCATGACTTAAAAGTATTCCTACATACTAGGACCCCCAGTGTTTTATGAATGAATGCATCACATTGCTTATCAGATACCGCACGGAGTACAACAATACTCAGAGTCGTTTTAAACACACCCTCGTTTAGTTTACAGATGTTTACCGCCGATGAGTGGCGATCATGTATCATTTGTACGAGTTAATTGTATTTGTGTAATGATGATTATCTTTTTGTTTACCTTTCAAATCATTATAATGTTTATAATATTGATAAACCATTGACGGTAGTTGAGGTGGATACTAGATTTATTACTCCGAGTTCGGTATATTAACCGACACGATGTCAAATTTGGCCATTTTTTTCAGGATAACAATAGTATTTGATATTTTCCCGGCAAAAATTCCTTTGAATTAAACTAAAATTAGAAGTATAATAATGATTAAATTTCATTATTATCTAAAAACGTAATAAAACATCAAGCATATTTGATATATTATGACGTCACAATTGAACTGACGTCATATAGAAATTTATAAATTATCCTGCAGTTCTCCGAATTCTTTTGTATCGTGACATTGATGTACGATAACGTTGAGACTGGGTTCGTAATTTACGAGCACACCTATACAGTATTTCGCAACATACTTTGTCAAAGTCTTGTGAATTTGATGGTTAAGCACACGTACACCTAGTGATGTCGAAATGTAGAACTAATATCTCACCTGATGTTCATGTGTGCCTATAGTTTGTTTGTTCGATGAGCAACTTTGTCTATATTTGTTATTTGTCATTGACCTACATAAATAATGTATGTACAGCCATTTTTCGGGTCATCACTCTCAAAAACTGTGTACACAAATTAACTCGATGCATATAGTCTGTGACAAGGACAAGTCCGTGTCTAAACCACATGATATATATATATACTATATTTATTCACATTGAAAAGTTTACCTACATCGGTTTCCACATAAATCTACACAAATGAATTGTTAGTTATTTTAAACTGACCGCAACTTCACTTCTTAAATGAAAACCGGTTTCACTACTTTATGAAAATATGTTAAATTTGGATCGGCATTCTGAATTTTCGAGTGTTTTAAAAAATATGTCGAACAGTCGCCAACATTCAATGCTCGTGAACAGATCCGTTAGTACGTCAGTGATGTCAATATGATGGTTATTTACATGTGATCGAGATGGCATTCATATAATAACCAATTATCATTCAATGGCCGCTATTGTTTATACTTGTATCTTCTAGATCCTACATGTTCCTTCGTGGAAATCAGAGGGCACTGTCAGTCATTGTATTCTGAAGCGGCAAAGAACGTTGTGATTTGGCGGCAAGCTATGGTCATCACAAAAATCGATTTTTTTTCCAAACAAATCAGAGACAGCGGATTAGAACTGCCAAATAATGATATTTAAAATCTCAAACGCGAGTTCATGTACTAAAGCTGAGCAATATGCTCAAATTGATATTTAATCGACCGAGCTTGACAATGAAGATACTTGAGAGATTTCTAGACTTTTCCATGTACTTTATTTAAATGCATTGGTACGTGCAAGAACATGAAGCGTTGGTGAGCTGATGTGTTACATTTCATCTGTTACGCAACATCTTCCGTCTGCACGCGGAGACATCGCCATCATGACAGTGCACTTCGTTATACAGTGAAAAAAATCGCAGTACATATATGTTGAAATGGAATACAAGTTTATGAAATAAACACGCACCAAAACGTCTTCAGGAAGTGACTGGTACATATAACTCATTGGGCACTCTCAGTTGTAAAATCTATTTTAGAAGAGACCAAGACTCCACATTATCTTAAGAGTCATCTGTTTGGTCGTCGCTGTCATTAAAACAGCCCAATTTTATTATTTATTAATCATACCAGCAATGCATATATTAACACTTGAGCATCGAAAACCCTTGTTTGGTTCTTCGTGCTTAAAAGCTTGGCTATAGTGTTCAATGTCTCTTAGTTGGCTTTGTTCCAAATCTCCTTGTAGTATAACGTTGTGTGTTCACTGACGCATAGCGACACACCTCCGTTTATCGTAACGTAGCAGCCTCGTCTAGTATACATTCCATTCATTCAATAATGGGGATCTAGAAACCTAGCCCGCCATATCGTACCACCGGTTGACGTCACATCATTAATATTCTAGGCCTATGTCTGAGTATCGTAACAGTACTATATAAACTGGCTTTGCGGAAACCCGGGGTAATAATACAAACAAAACGCAAGCGGTTGTGTTATGTAAACAAAAATAATCGTGAACGAAACCCTCAACATCGACATAACTGAATTGGCTGACGATTAGAATTCCTAATTAAAAACACATGTTGTGACCTACATCGCTCGTTAGACGTGTCCCAAGGAGGACAAACTATAAAAGGATCAAGTAGGTTATGACCTCCACGGCTTCCAACAGTAAAATTCCATAATGCTTTACGCCACTATACATATAAGGTCTATAGACGGTGTTACATTACAACCTAGTGCAACAGTTGGATAATTTCCAAAAATCAGAACCACCCCTTTGTGGAAATTCAAAAGAAAACTTGATCTTAAGCGTGTGAAATAGCACAACCTGTAGTTTTATTCCAATTTCTACAGATATTTTGTTAATTCTGAATTCAAGCTCAAATTTAAATACAATTAATGTACATGTTGCCCCAAAATTTTGCTATCAGGTTCAAATATACTTTTAATCATCGATTTAAGAAATTCAGTCCGAGCAATTCGCATGTAATTAACAAGAATATGAACAAAAATATCACAAAACTCTTCTTTTCTTTCTTTATATTTTATTTTATGTCGATTGAAGTACATCATGTATTTCAAGCAACATCCAACATTCAATCAGCATTTATGCTCATCATTTTTACCTATAAATACATCCATGATCCTTTCTCTATCACAATGGATGAAATTTTTATCATGTAGACAACCAAACACTTGCTCTCTTCTCTCAACTGACGACATTAAACCTTCTACTGTTTTATTAGCATCACTTGTCCACTGGAACAACAATCTAGTTATGTAATCTGTTCCTCCTCTGTTGATAGAAGCATGGGAATGGCTATGAACTGTACAATGCGTGATACAAATGGAATGTATTTAGTAAATATATTATTTGAGATAATTATGTGATCATGCACGAGATTCGCAAGTGGAAACAGGGCAGTCTGTATAAATGGAGTGTTGAGACAGAAATGCTGTAGAAACCCTTCTGTTTCACTAGGAAAAAGAAAATGGATGTGGTTAAGGCATTATGGTATTGTTTTGTAGAGGCAGTTAAATATGGTGCTGATATGTCTAGAGAATAGAAATGAATTGTTTAAACAACAAAGATCTTTGAGCATGGATTTTTCTTTCAGTTTATACTGATGTTTGAAAAACAAATCCAATATTGACTGTGACACAGGAAAAAAGGCAAGCTAACTGGTAACACATTAGAAGGAATGATGTCATCACACACACAATCCAACTGTCTAGCACCCTTATGTACACACTTGTATATCTGATGAAAACAATGAAACAATCATTCAGTCCATGATTACAGGATTATACTTCCCCTTCAACAATCACTCCATCATTTATAATTTTCCGTTCCTTAGCATTTGAAACAACTTTTAACAACATTCAGACTATATACAAGCAAATTTACAAAGCGACTTTTGATACTTTCTCAAGCTAATTATTTACACCTAAGCTACTGCAATTATATTACAAAGTGTTCAACGCATGTACTCGTTTATATACATCTATACAACAACATTTTTTACAGCTATTGACTAAATATAAAATTCTTACACTTTTGAGCCCAGCTTACATCAAGAAACTGGCTATACCAACATTCAATACTGCTGAATGTGTTCATATGGACATATTCCAAGACATACTTCAAACATCGAAGCCACACAAGCTTAAAACATACTCGATACACTTATACACAAACTTGTCTCCTCTTTCTACTGGTGTGTTTGGCACTGAGCATTAATCATAATAAATATGTTGTGATACTAAGAATCACCTCACAATGTACCTCTACAGAATCTGCATATTGTGCAAACTTCCGTAGCAGAGAACATCCAGTGGATACAAACGAAGACTAATTATTTGAACACTTAAGATTCATTATAGAGCAGTTTCGCTTTCCATCTCCTTAACAGGCAATCATGATATGTACCACAAAGAGCTTTCAGATCCACTTTCTTGATATACTACACATACCAACTCAAACCAGATCAACAGAGCACTAAGAATATAGTGCAACCATTCATACAAATATTAAATACCTATTATTGAAACTGCACAACCCAAATTTGACAAAATGAGCACTACAATTTCAATCCGAGTTTTACAACTAATCACAGACTTGTATTTTGTCTCTCTCAGAGACTAAAGCATTTATTCCAAATCCATACTTCGAAAAATCTTACATTCTCTCAAACGTAACTCTGATTTACATCAATATATATATATATATACATACACATTTATTCACAGACACAAATAAGCAAAGCACTTGGCATAATATGCTAAATCAGTTGAGAAAAAAAAATCTACTTTGCTGAAAATGAGTTGTTTAAAATGAGAAACGTTGTCAAAACAAGGAAATACATGTAAAAAATTTCAGATATTCCCTTTTAGCACTACCAATTGACAAGAAAAATAAAACAATTAAGCACTTTTATATTTAACACTTTGATAGCTTTTGTATGATCAAAACTGAAAAAAACCCATTATACAGTGATTTAAATAAATATGACAAGAAATTAACTTTTCATAATTGCACAAAATAAAGTCAAACACATTCTTTGTAACCAGAATAAATAACAATGTGTAACACAAATATAAATCTCCACATACACTACAGAACAATCAACAAAAAAGGTCACAAGTACATGTCGAGAAAAGGAGAAATAAAGAGTATCCCTCTAAACAAGGAATGCACCTAGTGAAATACTAAAGCACTCAGGATTTTTCAGAAACATTATCATGGTGGGTAAAATTAGTGCTAAAAAATGGTGGGGACTGAAATGTGTCGTACGTTTCAACATGTATCACATTTAATATAATTTCTTTTAAATTCCATTCTAAATATGATATTGAGATGATTAACTTTAATAACTGCTTAGCAAAGAAATGGCAAATAGAATGAGAAAAATAAACCACTGAAAGAAATTTTTAAAAAGACAGGAAAAGCATTCATAAAGAAAGTAATTGTCAAAAGACAAGCATGGATAGATTTTTTTGTTTGATTTTTATATAAATATTGAATCAGATCTATTGTTTAATAACCAAGCCAGATCGAGAGAGGAAAAAAATCTGCAATGTCCAGATAAGTTTTAACTGACTGAACAAAACTGTACTTCTATCAATTCTATCAAACAAAATTTAACAGAATATAGTTAAGCTGAAGTAGTTGAGAAATTCTTCAGAGGAAAGAAAAAAGGAATACATTTCAGATTCGGCATCCAACTTAAATGCTTACGACTTTAAACCACAGACTCATGATATTAAGATCAACACCTTATCGTGGTTCAGATCATTTTTGTCCTGCCCAATTTCAAGGACAGGCGAGCATCACTCAGTTGTCTTGATGTTTGCCCCGATGACATCTAATCCACAGTCTGCCCACACAAGTTCTTCTTCATGTGGAACAGTTGCAGATTTCCTGATTAGCAATCGGTCACAGCACCGTAGTTTTGTGGCATACTGCATTTCTTTAGGAAATACTTGGATCAGCCACAGCTGAAGTGGGCGTTGTCTCCCACTTTCATTTTTCTCTGATTTGTTCATTCAAGTAGCATTTTTGTTCGGAATACCAGTTCATGGAACTGACATGCAATTCTTTGCATCGGAAATAGCTGCCTTGAAGAAAGAGTGAACAGATGAAAAGCCACTTTTCAGATATTTATCGGACTTTGTGGAACCCATTCCATAATTACTGTTTTGGAACTGCCATGGAGCAACGATCCCATGTGTAACCAATTTGATCACATATTAAACTTGTTTTTCCTATTTCTGTCCTTTCATTATACCTCGGGATGTTTTGTTAAAGGTTGTAATGCCTGAAAGAGAACATCAATGAATAAATACTTTTTAAAATAAGCAAACTTGTTTCCTGAAGAGGAAAATTTTAAAAATACATGATTACCATTTGAAATTGAATTATTTCTTTATAAGACGAGCTTTTATGATGAAGGAAAACATTTGACATGCCTAATATTAATCATCATATTAAGGTTTTAGAATCTGCACAGTAAATTGTATCGAAGGGAATCCTTACCGGGTTATTACTGTTGTCTCTCCTATTTTGATTATCTCGGTTGCCATATGGAATAATGAATTGGTGGTCCTCTGTTGTTTTTCTGTAGACTGGATTGTCGAAGTTCATACTCTTGATATTCCTGTTCGTGTATCGCTTGTAGAAAACGTAGCCAACAGCTGCGATGACAATGAAGATGACTGCTACCACGCCTACGACAACACCAGCAATGACTCCCACTTTCTTGGAATTGTGTACAAAAGGTGTGCCAGTGTCAGTGTTGTTGACTGTACGAGAGGTAGGAGCAATAACAGTGTAGCCCTCTTGGGTGGTGACCTCCGGAACAGCAGTTGTTTGAACAGTAACAACAGGCTTTCCAGTGGTTGGCTTGGGATTTGCAGTAGTAGGTTTGGCAGTTGTAGCTTTTGGTTTAGAAGTAGTAACTATTGAAAAAGAAGAATACAGAAATGTCATTCCATGATTATACTATTCTTATTTTTTGTTGTTGTTAAATCATTATATCATTGCTGTAATTTACAACATGCATTGATGCAGTGATTTTAAATTAACATCTAGCAATTCCCATTTCCAGCATGCATTTAACGGTGATTATGTTTTAAAGTCAAATTTGAGAAAATTTTACTGTGCACTCCTATGTTCACGAAATAAATTATACAACTAAGTTTACACAAATTTCTCATTTAAATACAAATTCTGAAACAAGAGAAGATAAAGACAAAAGTAGAGTCAAGCATGTTTATATAAAAAGCAGCAATGGGTCTTAGCAAAATTTGTCTTTAGATTGTTGAGTATGTAATTCTGTCATTTTATCATTCTCATTATCATATCATTAACTATCAAATTTTTCCTCAGCTAGATTTGTTGTTACAATCAGTTATCCTGAATCCTTAACCCAGGAATTAGTGAATGGAAGATAACTTGTACTGATTAAAGAAATTCATAAATGGCTAATGATCACTATTCAAGGAACAATAATGTCTGCATTTAAAAAGTGTCTGCTAATTTAATAGGCATTATACAGAATACATTGGGAGGATCTAGAAGTGTGTCTCCTATAAAAAAGTTGTTCACTCTTGACAGGTTTGATTTTATCTTTAGGAGGAAAAAGTAACATCTACATCAAGTAAAGAAAAAGAACACATTTTTCGTGGTTGATGTTTGATTTTCTAGCAATGCTGCCTAATAAATATCATGAAGACATGCAGGGTAATGTTTAAATAATTTCATATTTATATATCATGAAACATACTGAAAGACTATAAAATATCCAAAAGATCTTGCTTGCAAGCTCTCCATGCAGAGTGCTCAATAAGGTATAAACTTCAAAACTTGAAACTGGATTCTTCGTCCACATTAGAAATATTATTAAAGCATGCTTTAATCAGTATTAATTATCAAATTAAGCAAATGCAGCCATTGGTAAAGTTGCCAAGTAAATTCTGATATGAAATTTGGAAAACATTATGATGGATCAGCTAACTTCCTATGCAGTTTGTATGAATCCATCACATTGTCCGGTTTAATAACATCCAACTTTCAATCAAAACCACATGAATCAGGAGTAGGCAAAGACTAAACCAAGAACCACATTACTATTTCTTGAAATCAAAATTTCATTTTGTCACTGAAGTGGTCCTTACCATCTGACACAGGAACTTTATTAGGTGATTCAGTAGCACTAGAGGTTGTGTTCTTAGTACTAGTTGAAGGTATGGGTGATGGAGTAGGGGTTGATATGTCTGTGAAACAAAACGGCATGCCGTTACCAGGTTAGCATGTTACATTTCAGCAAGGAAAGACACATCCTTCATCTTTTAATTCCAATTTTTTCCATATCTTGACAAAGTTTCAATTCTAGCTTGACATAGGTTTGCAAAATAAACATGATTTAAAAGCAAGACTTTAAATGTAGATTGTTTAAAATGATATTCTTTTTAATGTCTGCCTTTATATCCAAAATGTTCCACCAAACGAAATGTGATGGAATAATCATCAATGAAGGATGCATTTTATTACTGAAACATTAATGAAAAGAACAGAGGAATTTAATTTGCCAATTTCGTGTTTAAATGGACATTCATGCAGTTACAACTGATTTTTTTTATAGTATATACTATTCTATTCTGAAACTTCTATCTATGCAAGTGTGCTTTGATCATAAATTTCACCATTTGACTTTCGAGTGTTGCTGTGGACAATGAAAATATTTTATGTACCAGTAACTAATGATATCTTCAATATACAAATTGTTTACATGTAAATTTTTTCCCAAAGCTCTAGAGATACAAATTGAATTTATGTTTACAGGCACCAAGTACCTTTCAGACTTTATGAATGTCCTTTTAAATCTATTATAATGAAGCAAAAAAATTCCAATGCATTAGCTTTCAAAGAGCTATAGGAAAATCCCAACAAAACCTTAGCAATCAGGAGCACAAGCTTTCTGAAGTTCACAAAAACTAGCACTAAAAACTACAAAGGTATATACAGGAATCCCAACATAGCCAAGATTCGAATTTATACTGATGAAACAATAATGCTGTATTTTGTTATTAATAAAAATGTATTTAAAATTGTAACCTTGTATATGGTGTCGAGAGAGTAATACCAGGTAATGAGGCTTTGATTAAAACTTGACAGTGGACTCCAGAAAAGCAATATGGTAGAGCCACTATGAAATGCCTTATGGAGCATCAATTATCCAATACCAAAAGGTTTTTGCATTTTTATCCTGACTGGCCAATCAAGTACCTCTTTTTACTCAGTAAGCATTTCAAAATTTGAATCTTCGCTTTTAAACAAGTCCATATAAAAGAAATAAGTGATCTCATGAACTTTTTCATGCGTCTCGTTTCATTTAAATAAATATTGAATAAAATATTTTTTTATACATTGTCAAAACATGCGTTTTGTATACACATGACCCTTCATTCACATTCCCTTCTAAAAGTTCATATGATCTTGAAAAATGCACACCACTTTCAAATGTTATAACAAACTCAATGACCAACAAACCTTGCAGCTAAATTAACCAGAGAACAAATACCAAGATTTTGCAATTAAATCTTCAAGTAATGACATTTATTTGTATCAAAGCACAAATTTCAATACAAGCAAGCTGCAAACTTTGTCGTAATTGATCAAAGTTGGTTAAAGTAATTTCTTGAGTAAATACCAGCAAGCATCTACAAATACTGAATTAGTAACAAATCCATCTCTTGTACTTACCAACAATATCTTCTACACACGTCTTTTGGTCAGCACTAAGTTTGTAATGATTGCGACAGCCACAACTGAATCCATTTGCCTTGTCTGAATCATTTGGCACACTGCTTCCTTGAGGGGTAGGAAAGCAGAAATCACTGCACTGTCCATTGTTGGTGCCACAATGGTTGATGCCTGAGAAAAAAATCATGAAAGATCTTTAGCGTTATATAAAAAATTTTGGTCATGAAATGACTAAAAAGTATGTTGCTTAGATTTATGTTTTTCACAGAAATGAAAACAAGAATAAGGCAACTTCATGGAGTACTACAGAAATTCAATATTCTGACAAAACTCACCATTTTTCTGTACATTTTCATGGTAGAAGTGAATGTCCATTGGAGAATGAAGACCAATAGCGACTTGTTGGTAACCATCCCCTCTGAATTTGTTAACTGTACGGATAGATTCTGCCTTCCAGTCGGTCCAATACAAGTCATCCTCAAATACGGTGATGGCAAATGGATGGATGATACTTTGAGCATCATGAAGAACTGTATAACCAGACCCACCATTGGTATCTACAGATCTGATCATCTTTAATTTGGCATCTACCCAGAACAGACGCTGATCAACATAATCTGAAAATACCACATAGGCAAATGATGGTAAAATCATTACATCTAAATCTGTTCATGAAGGCAGTAACAAAACTTCCTGAATATAAATTTTATAATGTACTGTAGTATTTGGAAGATGTTATTGGATTTAACAACTTCAAAATCATGTAATTTCTCTAATATTGTGTCAAAAAGAAATCAACATTTAAATACTTACCTATTGTAAGACCATTTGGCCACTCAATTCCTTGCTCAACAATAACACTCCGATGTTTGCCATTAAGTCCACAACGAGAAATCATAGGCTTCTTTCCCCAGTCAGTCCAGTACATCCATCTAAATGTAACAGCGCAAAAATCATAATTTGGTTGTTGCTTTTGTCCTTCCAACGCTTGAATGAACTTGTTTAGATTGTCCCTTTGTGCTGTTTTTACACTTTTTCAATCTTCTTTTAGAGAAAACCATCATGTGATGAATTGATATAGTGATGCTTACAATGAAAATTGAAACAATATTAACTGATTAAATCATATTGTCGCAACAACAACAGAAAATTTTGCAGAAAAAGGAAACATTTTGGGTTCAAATCTGAACTCACCCTTGTAATGGGTCAACAACAATGGCTCGTGGTTCATCAAGACCTTCTGTGACCAGGTTTCTACGCAGCTTGCCATCATAGTTCATTACTTCAATTTTGTCAAATGTGGCATCAGTCCAATAAACATGATTGTAGAGCCAGTCCACCGCAATGCCATCTGGGGTCTTTACGTTGTTTGAAACAATAACTTTTTCATCAACAGCAGAACCATTAGCCATTTTCCTGGCACTGTAAGAGAAACACAGACATTTTAAATAACAGTAAAATAACTCCTTAATATTATCCAAAAATTCAATGTAGTAAATTAACATATCTAGAGTAAATTAACATATTTAGTGTAAGATCTGAATGGACATCATTGCCTTGAAAATTGAAATGGATCTTAATGGCCCTTATAAACAAAGACATTAAAGAAAATATTGTTCAATCTTAAAATATGAAGTGCTGAAATTTACCGAAAGATTTGTTCCTTGGTGATATCTGTCCAAAAGAGATATCCATCATTGTAGTCAAAGTCCACAGCCACAGCACTAGTTAAGTCTTCAAGGACAGTCTGCTCCCACCAGGTATCAACTTGCAATGTACGAATGTCGAAGCGGTTGGCCACTAACAGATGGGGACGTACGCCTGTGAATTATTGAAATGTTTAAAATCAAACCTATGTTCATGTACATTACAAGACATTATAAATATTTAAGAAAACAGAGAATGGATTCATGCTCATTTATGTGAATAACCAAATTTAAAATATGTGATCATATGTAGTTTTAATGCTTACCATTTACTTTACAAAATCCATTGAGATCTAGAGTGTATCCCTCTACACAACTACACTTGTACCCTCCTTTGCGGTTTTGGCAACCCTGGGAACACACCTTCTGTTTTCCATCTTCAGGAGCACACTCATTTATATCTAAAAATCACACATAACAACATTTCAACACTATTACTTCAATACTAATTAATCAAATTACTTTAAAATGACATACAATCACAAACGATTTATCTTGCATCAATAACATAAGAGATCAGCCATATTATGTTGATTTTTTTCCCCGTTGTAATTTTTGTTTTAAGAAATTTATAATTTCAAATCTTATAAAATTCAAAAGCATTTATTTTTCTGGGCACTAACTTGTTGCATTTACTGCTTAAGATTACCTTCACAGGTGTTTTGTCCTACTAGTCTATATCCTTCAAAACATTCACAGCGGTGCCTATTCCGAAATATTCTGACACACTTTTGAGCACATCCACCATTGTGTTCCAGACATGGATCTAGGGAAATGAAAGATTTAATATTTATAGACATAGTCTTGGCAAATATTGAAGCCAAATTTACAATCTGTGTCCTGCGAGACTTGTGGTCTTGTCAGTCAGTAGGTGTGTAAATGTACTTTGTATGCTTGATATAAATATATCAAAATAACGCTTGTGAAAACCATAACATTCACAAAATATTTAACAAATCCCTACTTTAAATCCTTGAAAGTTTTTATGACATTTAAAAGAGAAACATATGTTATCCATCTTAGATCATGCAACCTCACAAGGCCAAAAGATCAATGCAAATGAAACAAAATATGTGGCAATTCTTCATCATACTGGGTCAACAACAACATCAATATAGGCATTGGATTGAAAAGACTAAAAAACTAGTACTTATTACATGTGTACTAAAAATAAAAACACAAAAAATGGGTAAACATTGAAAATATCTCAACATTTAAGTTTTTCTTAAACAAAATAAAGTTCAATACTAAAAAAAAATCAAATTTCTGAAATTCCCTCCACAACATCTACTATTCTAATATGAGAGGGGATATCTAATTTTCTATACACCTACCATATGATTCTGTTGTATCTTCTTACAGAAGCATTAAAAAATGATAATAAGTACTTTTATTCTTGTACATGTATAAATCGTGCTTGTTTTGTACATCTTCATTTGTAATTTTAGCAGCAAAATTTAAAAGTACTAAAAACAAGACCTAAACATATACCAACAATTTAGAGCAATGGCAAATTCAGATCAACAGTATTTCACTCAAAACAATACAAGATAAATTTGATACTGCATCAGATTGGATACTTATCAAAACATCTATCCAAACCCAAGAATTTAGATTTTTAATTTTCAGGGGTACATAAATCTAATTTCAGTAAAATATGATACCACAGATAGGAAAGACAGCAAACTTGGCCATGAACATATATCATTATAAATTTTGGGAGTTCTTGAGCAAGGTGGCATGTTCTGCATAGACTTCCCTATAGACTACAAATCTTTAACAGTATAACGGAACTCATCTGCACCTGTTGTATTAACGCAGACATCTCCTTCATCATTCAAGCAGTCCTTCAATCCATCACACTCTTTCTCAGCAGGAATACAATGAAAACCGTCTTCTGTCTGACAGGCAAATTCAGTTCTATTGTTGCAATCTGAAAAGGGCAATGAAGTTGTCTTAGTTTTCAGAAATATGAAACAGTCTGTCAAAGGGTTTCCAGTTAAATTGGTATTTACTCAACACAAAATAAAATGCCTCTAAGTAACAAAGAAACTTACTGATTGGACAGTGTGCTTCATCAGAAGCATCAGCACATTCAATTTCTCCATCACACCTCAACACGTCGTTGATGCACTGATTGTTCTTACATTTGAATTCGTTACTGGCACAAGTGTGGGTACCTGAAACAAAATAATATGCACAATGTTGGAAATTGTCCTTCCAAGACACTGAAATAATACAAGTTCCTTATTTATAGGATTAAAATATAATACAAAATGTACAGTAATTATTCACTCACATTTCACTAATAAGATTGGTAATGGAGCATGCTTTTTTTTAGTAAAGAATAGAAATGGGGCTTCATGAAACATGATCTGATAGGTCATATCAAATTGGCCCTGATTCAAACTTTAGATAAAGCATTACAAGGGCACAAATTGATAAATCTGCATGCCTTGTAATATTAACAAGTAGTGAGTGATCCAGTTAAACATTGTTCAAATATAATACGAAATTACAAGGTTCATAAAAGTTTTTATAATCTTTAAGAATCCACTAAAATTCACATTATGATTATCAGTTTATGACAAACAGAAATGTTTAACTTACAGTTAACTTCATCAGACTCGTCAAAACAATCATTGTCACCATCACAACGCCAGGACAGGTGAATACACTGGTCAGAAGTAGCACAACTCCACTCTTCACTTTCACATTGAGGTACTGTGGTTACACAACGGAACTCATCACTGTGATCATCACAATCATGGTCTCCATCGCAATGCCAGTTTGCAGGTAGACACTGAGAATTGTTGCACCTGAAATGATCTCCAGTACATTCTTCAATTGGATCTGAAATTGAAATCAAAATGCGAGATGCAAAAATCTGTTTACAACAAATGTTTATACTTTTTATTATTGAAACATCAAAAGAACAAAGCATATAACACATTTTCATGAATATATCTAAAGCAACTTACTGCAATCAACTTCATCACTTCCATCACGGCAGTCAGTATCGCCATCACACCGCCAGGTTTTAGCAACACATTGGTGATCTTCACATTGAAACTCTGAACTAGAACAGGTCTTAGCTGCTGGAAAAAAAAACCTTCATTACTCAAGCGGCATGTTTACCAAAACAAACGTTATGTTATATTACTTAGCTAATAAGAAATTTATTTACTTTAAATAGTCGATTTAAGTTCTAAGATATATGGAGATTTCCCTCATTTTCATTTTCCCCCTACCCTGCCCAAAGTAGGCAACCATTTGAAAATTAATATAAAAAATTGTAGACACTTACAACAGCTTTGTTCATCTCTGCCATCGGAACAGTCATTCATTTCATCACACAACCACAAGCTTGGAATGCATTTCCCATCACCACAGCTGAACTCGTCATCTTTACATGGATTTGCTAAGGAAGAAAATTAATTTAAATGAAGTATGATTAATTGATCATTCCAAAACATATTTTGCTAAAGATGTTAAAACTTCTGTAAAGTAAAATTTGAAGCAATTTCAAATTAATTAAAAATCAGCAAATTATAAACTTACCACAAGTTTCATTAGCTTCATCCAATTGGTTTGGACAGTCTGCATCCTGGTCACATTTCCAGCTGATTGGTATACATAATGTGTTGTTTCCACAGTTGAATTCTTCAGATTTGCATGCCCTGTACTCTGTGAATGGAAATATGTTGGTTAAGACTAAAATTGATTCATAACAAAATCTCAACACTGTTTTGATGGGGGAATGCTAGTCCCCTTCAATATTGCTTTATGCTCATAACTTTTGTGACACTGCATTCATAACCAATGATGGCTGAATATATGTGAGCAAGTGATGGCGATTTGTAATCATCCAAATACTTTAGTTTGTTCGCAAATCAAGTTTTCACAATGTATCTATAAATATGTCTTTTAAGACTTTGAATGTGTATATTAGTTTTTTTAAAGCAATTATTCCATGTTTTTGTTAAATTACATTTATTCTGTGCTGTTTTGAGATAAGAAATGTGTTCTAGGTCAGTTCTGTACCTTTGTCCCTCTGCTAGACTATGGATTAAATTTCAATTTAGGCATCAATAATTGGTATACTAATTCCATATTTCATTTACTTCTAAATTAATCTGGTAATTGACGTTTCACTTGCAAGTGTTCTCATTATTATATCATATTGGACACATCAATATTGTTCAACTGCTTGATGTTTTACAAATTATGTAATATTCCAATCTGGATGGAGGATCGTTTCTTTTTATATATATATGAAAATAATTTTTTACATGAACGTGTCACATTGTGATACTCTCCGGGCTCATTTTAGCTACAAGCCACTTATAACCTCAATATGAGTCATACAGTTGCATGTTATTGCAATTCAAATTCCATACACGCTGACGCGTGTTGCAGCTTGGAGCACAGTATGGCCCCAGTTCTACTTTCTATGCTTAGAACAGGATTCAAATATATTAAGTTTTTAGCAGGAAATTCATTAATTGTTACACTCAACAAATCTTCAAAATGCATGTTGATATCACAAGTCTCATTAACACCACAGGCACTCGAGGCCAGGATATTATTTTTTAAACATTGATTTTTGTTTTAGCACTCATGACTGACGTTATTTAAACGAAATATCAGCAGAATTCAAGTTTATGAGCCGGTTGACAAATCCGAGGTCCACGGTCATTAAAAATACACAAGGCAAGCAACTCCAGATTTTAAAAAATCGACCCCTCGCAAACATATTTTATTGACAATGACATTGACAATAGGATTAGTCAGTAAGTTTTACCAACTTATGAATGACTTCTCCTACAACATACACATAAACATTTACATAAATATGATCACGTGGTGACATGAAACTATTATAATAGTCATTTTTATGTAAAATGTATAAGTGGACAAAGAATAAAGAAAGAGACAGAGAAATAAGAACAGGGTATGGCATAGGGAAAGAGAAATAGAAAGAGGGATGTAGAATGGGAGAGAGAAAAAAAAAAAAAAAAGGGGGGGGGGGGGGGGGGGGGGGGGGGGGGGGGAGAGAGAGAGAGAGAGAGGAGAGAGAATTTAAGTGAATCTTCCTGACCTTCCTAGGAATGTTTGGACCGATTTGGCCATTCTAAGGTTATCATCCACAGAGATATTAGAGTCACCATTGCAAAGAATATTTACATTAACAATACCGTCATACCATATTAATTCTTGGTATAGTGCTCTACGTTGATCAGCATATAAAGGACAATTAAAAAAAAGATGATAAGAATCTTCACAGGGGTGCCCACATTGACACTCTGGTGAATTTACAAGATTAGCCCTAAAAAGATCATAATTGAGTGGACTTGCACGGTTTCGGAGACGACAGTGGATGATATTTAATTTTCTGGAGCCATAACTAATAAATTGCTTGTGGAGAGTACTATTCACAGACATAGATTTTTGAAGATTTAGCTTGAAAGAATTTAAAGTGGGTGAATTTCTAATATCGTTGTTCAGGTTGTTCCAAAGATTAGTTGCAGAAGGAAAAAAAGAATTATGAGATATTTGTAAACGGAATTGTTGATCTCTCATTAAATGGGCTCGTCTTAAATTATAGGGGACTAAGTTACCAACAATATCAGGTAATAAATCAATAAGGAAATCAGGTGCCAAGTTGTTAACTATCGAGTAAAAGAGGGAGAGCTTCCTGGCTTCTCTTCTTTTTGAAAGAGGTAACCATCCTGTTTCTCTATATAGAAAATCTATTTTTGTGTAAATAGGTAAACCTGTGACTATTCTGGCAGCTTCTAATTGGATTTTTTCTAATGACAGGGAATTTGTTTCACTACAGTTGCCCCATACCTCACATGCATATTCAAGAAGTGGTCGGATATAAGTTAAGAATAATTTCTCTAAATTATGTCTATTCAATATGAGTTTTAATTTACGTAGGGTTGCAATATATTTTGAGATTTTACTAACAATATAATCTACATGTAGGTTCCATTTACCGTCGTTAGAAATAATAACACCTAAGTGTTTATGCTGATTGGTAATTTTGATAGGTATGTTGTCGAAAATGAATGAGGGGACAAAAGGAAGTTGAAGATTTGAAATGATAAGGGCTTCGGTTTTTATGGGATTGAAGGACATCAGCCAATCTTTAGACCAAGTTTCAAGTTTTCGGAGATCAGATCTTGCTGCGGATTCAATTTGATTTAAATTACTAGAGGAATAAGAGAGGGATGTATCATCAGCGAAAAGTCTAGACAGGGAGATAAGTTCGCAAGAAATATCATTTATGTACATTAAGAAGAAGAGTGGCCCAAGGACTGAACCTTGGGGTACACCGGCATTTATAGGTTTGTATGAAGAAAGTGCATCTTTTATAAAAACTGCCTGTTTTCTTTCATAGAGATAGTTACGTATCCAGAGAAGAAGTTTTCCACAAATGCCATATTTCTCTAGTTTGTGTAGAAGACCTTTATGCCACACTCGGTCAAAGGCCTTCGAGAAATCACAAAAAATCAAAACAGTATGCTCATATTTTTCCAGAGAAGTAATTATTGAGTGATATAATTCAATGAGTTGATGGGTTGTAGAATGGTTGGGTAAGAAACCTGATTGGTACTTATAGATAAGATCATTTTGTACTAAATGATTGTATATGTGTTTATAAACAACACGCTCAAATAGCTTACCCAAGCAACTTAACAATGAAATAGGCCTATAGTTTGAAACAATACTTGGATCATTAGCTTTAAATACGGGCATAACATGGGCAATTTTCCAGCCATTTGGATATATACCAGATGATAAGGAATAATTGAAAATGATAGATAATGGTACAGAAATTTCAGTAGATAGTAACTTTAGCATTTTGTGACTAATACCGTCGGGTCCTGATGCTTTGTTTGTATCAAGTATATTGACGATGTCTTCAATTTCTTTAGGTAGTAATATTATTTCATTTAAGACTGAATCAGTTCGCCTCTCAAAAAAGGGTAAAGCTTTATCAAGGTCAGTTTCTAATAATGTACAAACAGAACTGAAATAATTATTCAATAATTCACATTTACTGTTGTTATCATATATAATTTCATTAGTATTATTGTCTAAAAGTGGGGATATGTCAGTATGTTTACTAACTTTTAAAATATTGCGAAGAAGTTTCCAATATGCCTTAGGGTTGTTTTTGCTATTATCAATAGTTGAATCTATATTTTCATAAAAAATTTCTTTAGCTCGTTTAACCATGTTGTTTATTTTATTTCTAATATGTTTGTATTTATTTCTATTTGTTTCAGTATTGTTATTAAACATTATCTTTTTTAATCTTTCCCTTTTCCTTATATTGTTTCTGATGATCCCATTCATCCATGGTTTGTCCCCTTCCCGTACTAATATTTCTTTAGATGGTATACACTTTACTATAACCTCAAAAAATTTCTCAGTAAAAGATGAACACATTTCATTTACATCAGATATGTTGTTAAGGACATCATTCCAAGGGATGCTAGCGAACATTGTTTTGAGTTCATCAATGTTACATTGGTTATATAGCCATACTTTTCTCTTAAAACTATGTCTAATTTTGACAGGTATACTGATAATAGCAAAAACAGCATCATGGTCACTAATAGCACGATCAATTTCAATTACATCAGAAAAAGTTACATTTACATTATCACTTACAATAATTGGGTCAAGAAGAATAGATGAGTTATCAGTTAGTCTAGTAGGTTCTGTTATTACATTTCTTAGGTTATAATCAGAGAGAATATTGTTTAAATGGCCCCTAATATTTTTTAGGAAATCAACATTAAGATCACCTGTAATTATTATATTAGATGTTTCTTCGAAAGCTATATCAACAGAGTGACGGAGATGATGCCATAATGTAGCATCATTATGAGAGGGAGGTCTATAAATATTACAAAGCAAATAAAGGGTATTTTTGCTTGTTTGCTTGTAATACGACTTTTCATTGGTTTGGTGAAACATTAGTATTACGTCATAATCACATACACATCGCTATTTCCACATACACCCCTCATCGAATCCCTACTCTCACTGGGACAAAACCACAGGTTTTACAGAAATCCTTCCCACTTAGGATGAATGTGTGATAGAGGAAAGATAATAATAACAACAGGGTAATCCGGCTTTTCAGTGAATGAGTGATGTTTAAAGGAACGAAGTTACAATGTCACAAATTACGGGTACAGTGTGTTTATCTTATGCAAGTAATTCTGTGTTTATGTCATCGTCAAAGAGGGTTGATGATAATTGTTGGTGTGATTATGGGCGCAGTCACACTCAAAATGAACACCGACACTTTAGGTTGTTTTCAGCGATTTTCATTATGGGAACGTTACATTTTTTAGATCTTGGAAGTACAAAATGGGTTTTATTCCTAGGTTCTATTGTACGACAAGGAAACGTCTGTTCATCGTGTCCATTCTGCTGTAAATCAGTTTGAATCAACTGTTTTCAGGTTTTGTGTAAATATATATCTTAATGTGTGTTTTATTTTCTGTAATGAAATGCAAGACAGTACACAAGTCGGAGGGCGTTCGAGGACTTTAGAACAATGTATATAGTTTCTAAGTGACAATACCGACATTTCATGCTAAATATGAAGAGATATAGACTATATATATAGCATTACCTCGCATATGTGTATTGTAGCTTATGTCATAAATACCTATTACAACTATACT